ACAATTAGCAACAAGCCAATATGGTGTTGAATTTTCGACACCCCAACCAAGAATTTTAATAGCTATTAAAGAGAAATACATAAAAAAAAGATTTACTTAAAAATCAATACAAACCATGACCACCAAGACTGGATCCTGATGTATGTTTATAAACACCTGAACTGTATAAAGGAAAATCAGCATATACAGTAAAAGCGCCTTCAACTGGTCCATTTTTAAAGATTTCTGTTTGAATTTGTTGTTCATTTGATTTAATTGAATAAACACTATCACCAAAATGTTTATCTTCTGGATATGCAATTGTATAACCAGTAATACAATCTTTTGTACAACTTGGTGTTTTACCTTCACCTTGACACTATTTTATTCAAATGAAAAACAATATAACAAAACAAAAAAAGATTGTTTATAACTTACAGGTGGTAAAGTTTTATTAACACTAAAGAGAAAAACAGAATTAAGAGTAGTATATAACAATCAAACTTACTGATGATCACATGATGCAATAGTATATGGTCGACAACCTTCACTTGTTTCGAAATTACCACCAGTAACTAAACCTGTTTTTTTAAAATATGACCAAGCAGCTTGTGGAAAACCACCATTACAGCCAAAACCACATAATTTACAGCATGCTATATAAAATAAAAGCAATATTTTTCATATGCTAAATTTCCTAAAGATTACATACAAACAAGATCTTCAGCTGAGATATGAGCATTTACAGCACCGTTTGAAGCAATACAAATACGATCCGACATCGCTTCAACAGCACCAAAAGCCCAACAACTACCACAACTTCCTTGATCGCGAACTTCTTTGAGTGTTGGACAATTAGGCCATTGTTCACGTGCATCAAAAGTTTCTGGTAAATCATTTGGTACATCATGTTCAAGTACTTCAAGTTGTTTATGTTGATTATAATAATCTGGATGAACACCCATTAAACGTTCGATTGATTCTTTTGACCATGACATAAATTTTGATGATGCTGATGCTTTCCATGTTGTTTGTGCTGAATTAATTTCATTTACAAGATTTAATGAAAGTAATGGTCGATGTGATTTAAGCATACGACCATTAATGGCAACCAAAGCCAAAGAAATAAAAAAACATAGACGAACTAACATTGCGTTTTATTTTATAAATATATAAATCTAAAATAAAATCAATATTATCAAGGTGTGTCTTATCTTTTATAATATCACAGCGTGTATACAGAAATTTTTTTTTTTACTAAATTTAACGAATATCTATTTTTATTTATTATAATTTGAAGGTCATTTTTATTTTCATAACAATAATCATTTAATAATGAATTAGTCAAACTTTGTTTATTTTTTTCGATAAAATATTCACTAATATGAATGACGTGGTTTTATTGCGTATGACAATGATTGTTTTTGCCTATATCAAACGATATATCGATAGAAAATATTTTGTCATTTATTCCAATTTGATCAACGTGAGTGATAAGAAGCAATCAAAAAACAAATATACATATATTTATATTAAAATATGAAGCAAAAAACGAAAGGTGTTATGCATATTCCTATATCATTCTTCGGTCGACTTTTTTTTAATACAATAAAAAAAAACAAATATGAATATTTTTCTTTCCTTGATAATGATTATCATTACAAAAAAAGGTGATGTGGGCGGATGGGACAAATATAAAAAAATAACGTAGATTCTCTTATAAATAAATTACGTTTTCCTTCCCACCTTGTACAAAGCATCAACTTATGGCTAATCCAAAAATAATGAATGGAACTGTCAAGTCAATGAACAATCCATGGCCAAAAAGTTGAGTATAATATAATTCAGAAAGAAAGAATCTATTAATCACGAACGGTCAATATACACTGTTCTATGTTTGCTCTCCTTTTTTTTTACATATTAAATGAAGATGTAAAATATTCTTCTCGACCTTCTTTCTTCTATATAACTACATAAATTTTAGTTCCTTCTCTTATACGTAATATATAATCAGTTCCGAATATACTTATTAAAGTACAGTTGACCTTATGTCCTATTTTATTCTTTCATATTTGAACACAAGTTTTTTTTTAAATCGAATATTTTAGAAACAAGTATGGAAATATTAATCGAAAATACAGTTTGGGCAAATACAAGATGTTTTGCTTGTGGAGCACTTGTTTATGATGTTGAAAAGAAAAAAAACAGCGAATCATGTAATTTAATTTACAATAAAATTAAAAAAAATGTTTAAGATTTTATTTAGATTTATCATAATCGATGTTTTTGTTGTCGAATATGTAAACGAAATTTAACTGCAGCGACTCTCAATGAAGAAGGAGATGATATTTATTGTACAAGTTCGTTCAAAAAGAGAAGAATATCTATTGAAAATAATATTTCTTTTATTTATCTAAACTAGATTGTTATCGAAAAAAACAACGAGGCGATTGTAATAGTATAGAATTTCAACGTGCAGCAAGTGAACGAGCAACTTATGTTTATAATGAACGACATCCTGATCAACCATCACCAACGCCTAATCCTCAACCACCAGTTCGACGTGATTTTTTAAGAAATCCCTCATGGACATTACGTCAATTAGAACGACAATTTCTTTCTCAACAACCTACAACTACTACTACTATAGAGGTTAACTAAATCTTAATTAATTAACTTATTTTTTGTCTTTTTTTTTCTAGAAAGCAAAAGAAGATTATATCAAAATCAGTTCACTTTCTCATCCTATGATGACTATTAAAACAAATTTCTCAAATCCAATTAAGTTCACTAAATTTCCACGTCAACCATTAACAATAAAAAATGAACCATCACCATCGCCATCATTACATTTTTCGCCTGCCTTTTCACCTTTTCCAAATAATCGTACGGAATCAGGATCTACAACACCTAATCATCTACAAACTTCACCAAAAAAGTGCTACATTTATTAATCTTAGATCTCGATTACATCGAAGTAGTACTGATTTAACTAAAGCTTTATCACCTATACCTGAACGAAATTCAACTAGTATAAACAGCATCGATTCGAAAGAAAATAAAAAAACAAACGGTGTTAGATTTCAATTTCCAGATGTTGTTAGAAATATAACGAATCGCCGAAGTTTTAGTGCTACAGATCGACGCAAAATAAAATAAACTTATCATTAAAAACAAAAATAAACAATAAATAATATATTTAGATTTTACATATATACTGTACTTTTTCTTTTACGTAACTAATACTAAACCAGTAAAATTCAAATACGACAAAAAACAAATAATTAATCATTATATATCTCGTGATGTGATGAGAAAGAGAGAGAGGGGCAGGTATTCAATCACAACAGTACAATATGTACTCATTCTTTGAACTGACAGTATGCGATTGGTAGAATGATATTGTACGTTTTTTTTTATTCTTTTGATTTAAATTTATTTCGATAATAATTATTTATTTATTTGGAATGATTATTAACGCTAATTGAATTATAGAATGGATTATTTAGCAATTGTCTAATGCTGACATCTGGTAGTAATAAAAAAATCGAATACCGAAAAATGATATAATAGTTGTCTATCACTGACATCTATTCAACCTCACTAGAAATGCTAGATAAATGAAGTTCAATCAAAAAGATTTGATTGGAACATGTAAAGGTCTACTGATAGTACTACTACTATCGATATGTACGAGTACGATATATTTATATTTCTTTATTTATTAACCACGAAAATTTGAATTATTTTTAAAAACTAATTTTTTCTAGATATTTATCATCTATATCATTATGCCTAAAGCAAACAAACGTAAATCGGAAAAATCAGGTCCTCAACCACGACAAAAAAAAATAAAAAAATCAACTCGACAAGCACAACTCGAGGAAGATAATAAGGATGAATCTATGCATGTTCATCGATTAGGTCCATCACCTCAATCGTCATCATCTTTAGTTCAACGTTTACCATCAACACGTCAATCCGATACAATTACACCCATGAAATCAACATGGATTAATAAACAACGTGTTCTGATATTTTCATCTCGTGGTATATCATATTTAGCACGTCATGTTATGAAAAATTTACGTTCATTAATGGCACATTCAAAAAGTGAACCTAAAGCAGAAATACGTAAAAATTTTTCGATGTTAAATGAAATAGCTGAATTACGTAATTGTAATAAAATCTTATTTTTTGATATGAAAAAAAAACGTGATCTTTATTTATGGATGGCATCGGTACCTGATGGACCAACAGTTAAATTTCTTGTTGAAAATTTACATACAATGGAAGCATTAAAATTAACTGGTAATTGTTTACGTGGTTCACGTCCATTATTATCATTTGATAAAAAATTTGATGATGAACCACATTGGAAATTAATTAAAGAATTATTTACACAAATATTTGGTACACCGAAATCACATCCAAAATCTCAACCATTTATTGATCATGTTTTAACATTTACAATCATTGATAATAAAGTTTGGTTAAGAAATTATCAAATTGTTGAAGAAAATGGTTCATTAGCTGAAATTGGTCCAAGGTAATTCGAAATACTTTTCTTTTGTTTCATTTTTAAATTTTTTCTTTTTTAGATTTGTTCTCAATTTACATTGTATTTTTGAAAAAAGTTTCTCTGGTATGTTGATTTATGAAAATCCATTATATGTTGCACCGAATTTAAAACGTCATATGGCTAAAGCAGAAGCTTCACAAAAATATCAACAACGTGTTTATCAAAAATTATCATACGAACAAAAGAAACCAAAAGAAAGTTTTCCATATGATAAAACTGATGAAATATTTCAAACACCAGCACCACCAGCCGATAATGAGGATGATGATGATGATGATGATGATTCGGATTCGGATTCGGATTCAGAATAAAGTTTTTTGTTTTGTTGTTAAAACATATTAATTCCTATTAGAAGAATTTGAAAAAAAAACAATTGTTAAGTGTGTTTTTCTCTTTGTTTTTCAGATGGCAATACGTATTTTAGTCGGTGTTAAACGAGCTATTGATTATGCTGTTAAAGTACAAGTTAAAACCGATAAAAGTGGAGTTGTTACGGAAGGTGTAAAACATTCAATGAATCCATTTGATGAAATTGCAGTTGAAGAAGCAATTCGATTAAAAGAAAAAAAAGTTGCACAAGAAGTTATTGCATTATCATGTGGACCTGCTCAATGTCAAGTAGAAAATCTATGAAATAATTTTCATATATATATAAAATTTGTTCTTGTTTTCAAAGGAAACACTTCGAACAGCATTAGCATTAGGTGCTGATCGAGCTATACATGTTGAAGTAACTGGCAAAGATTATGAAATGTTACAACCATTAGCTATTTCAAAATTAATTGCAGCTGTTGCCAAGAAGGAAAATGTTGATCTAGTTCTTCTAGGAAAATTGGTTAGTTGTATAATTCTAAATACTTGAATCTTTATGTGAGACAGAATCGAATGAAAACAATGATAAAATATATAATTTATTAGATAAGATAAAAATTATCTGAAAGAAAAGTAAATATTTCTTGTCATATTAATTGATAATATAGATCCTATATATATATGCTTTTGCTCAACTAAAATAACGTTAATTCATTTTGAATGGTCATTGAATTCAGTAATTATAACTATGATAAGTTGTGTTCGTTGATCCGATCTATTCACTTTGACAATTTCTTTTTCCGATGTAGATAATCAATATTAAGATAAAGGAAGACATATTTATTTTCTGCAATGTAACAAAATACTTGGAATAATTCCATGGATTACAGTGTTAGTTAATAAATCATTTGTATATCAATATTTACCATTATTTTCGAATAAACTTCTTTAACGATTATACTTGTACAGAGCAGTTAACTTTTTATATCAATATTTTCTTTTTTAAATTATTCAGGCAATCGATGATGATTCCAATCAAACAGGTCAAATGGTTGCTGGTCTTCTTTCTTGGCCACAAGTAAATTAGAATAATAAAAAAATTAAAATATAGATTTCTTTGTTTTTAGGCTGTATTTGCTTCCAAAGTTGATATTAAGGATAAAACAGCTGAAGTAATGCGTGAAATTGATGGTGGCTCAGAAACACTTCGTGTAAAATTACCTGCTGTGATTACTTCTGATCTTCGTCTTAATCAACCTCGTTTCGCTAATCTTCCATCAATACAAGTAATATTTTATTGTTTTGTTTTCTAATCAAAAATATTATTTCTATAGAAAGCAAAGAAAAAACCAATGGCAAAAATGTCACCAAAAGATTTAGGTGTTGATATAAAACCACATCAAGAATATCTTTCATATGAAGAACCACCTAAACGACAAGGTGGTGGTCGAGTAGCAAATGTCGATGAACTTATTAGTAAACTTAAAGAAAAAGGACTTATTTAAAATAAACTTTCTATCCCTCTCTTCTTCTTTTTTTTAATTATTATTTCATTAAATATCTTCCGGTCTCAAGTTCGCTTTTACATAGAAAGAAAATTTCTTAGTTATGATTCAAAAAGTTTCTCTTTTGTAGATCTGTTTATTTTTATCTCATTCACAGAATGTCATTAGAACAAAGTGGAAATCCTCTTCGTAAATTTAAGTTGGTTTTTCTAGGTGAACAAAGCGGTAAGATCATAAAAAGAAAATACAAGACATAAATATTATTTCCTAACTTTTAGTTGGAAAAACTTCATTAATTACTCGTTTTATGTACGATAGTTTCGATAATACATATCAAGTAAGAATACATTTTTTCACGAGAAATATAAATTTTATTTTAAGTTTAGGCTACAATTGGTATAGATTTTCTTTCCAAAACTATGTATTTAGAAGATCGTACTGTTCGCTTGCAATTATGGTAAGAATGAATTTATGAAAAAATATATGAAAATATTTTTTTTAAATTTAGGGATACAGCAGGACAAGAAAGATTTAGGTAATAGATAAAATATTTCGCTATGATTTTTAATAATCTTGTTTTTTTTATAGAAGTCTTATTCCTAGTTATATACGTGATTCTACAGTTGCTGTTGTTGTTTACGACGTCACAAGTAAGAATATCATATACACAAAAACCGATTTTTCTGAAAAATTCATTAGATTCAACATCGTTTCAACAAACAACGAGATGGATAGAAGAAGTTCGGTCTGAACGTGGTACTGATGTTATCATAATGCTTGGTAGATATTTTCGAAACAAAAAAAAAAACGTTTTATATATTTATATTATAGCTGGCAATAAAACTGATCTAGTCGATAGACGACAAGTATCAACAGAAGAAGGTGAACAACGAGCAAAAGATTTAAATGTTATGTTTATCGAAACAAGTGCTAAAGCTGGTTATAATGTTAAACAAGTACTATCGATTTAGATTAATTATTCATATAATAATCTATTTATTTTATTATAGTTATTTCGACGAGTAGCCTCTGCCTTACCTGGTATGGAACAACCTGAAGTTACAGATAGTCCTGGTAAATATCATAATTCAAATTTTCTATTAAATATTTTTCATAATAGGAATCGAAGTCAAACTTCCATCATCCAGTTCAACTGATAAACCCAATACTGATAATCAAGGCTGGTGTCGATGTTAATTCAAAATAATAATAATAATCTTTCTATTTCCTTTTTTGTAATTTATATTTTCTTTTATTGTTACAAAAATAAAACACAAAAAGTAAACTTTCTACAATGCCTTGTTTTCTATCATTCATTTCTTTCTTAGCTTATTTGTTGTTTTGTCCTAGACATAGTAAAACAAAAACAAACTATCTTACTTTTTCATGCTTTATATATTGTTATATTATTATTTGTTATATATAAATTTTATGTGTGTTGATCTGCTTTCTTTTCTTTTCTTTTTTTAAATTAAAATATTTACAGAAAAATGCACTGAATATCATTTGTAATTTGACAAGTATCGAACCATAATCGAACTATTAAATTTTAATATCACACATGTTGTTATTCTCATTATTTATGGATTAGTATATTGTTTTATTAGTAAAATTCGGAATTAGTTTTTTGTCTTCATTTCGTTTTTTTCTCAATTGTACGAGTTGAATATGTCATCGATTTTTACATATCTTGCAATTATTCTCAGTGCTCTTGTTCTAGGTAAATGCATATGTTGTTATAAATATATAAGCATAATTCTTGTTTTTTCCTTCTTCTCTGGTTTTAAAGGAGTATCTTGTGCTAATCAAGGGTCTGTGCAAGTATGCAATCGAGGTGCTTATGTCGCTAAATGTGGCCTCAATACACGAACTGCTGATGGACGTACACGTTCTTATGAAACTGGAAAATTTCCAGTAGCACAATGTTCTACACTTGAACTTCCATTTGAAGCTGTTTCGGGTCATATATGGTGTGATAATTATGTGTTTATTGGGGTAACAAAACGCGTTTTTCAAGAAGATTTTGACACTCCATCTGTTCGTTGTTATGATATTGGTGGAACAACATTTCATCCATCAATGTCTCGTACATGTTAATTAACATGAAGTTAAAACAAAAACAAAAAAAAAGTATTGCATAGAGCTGTTTTGTTTTTCTTCTATATACGGTCTTTTTTTTTAATAATAAAAAAAATAAATGGACGGAGACAAAATAAACAGACATACAATAAATAAAATTATTGTTGAAAACGAGTAAATAATTGTTCAACACGATTTTTAAAACGTTGTAAGATATTGAAATTAATTCGATTATCATCGAAATCAGAATCTGAACGGGCTGTTGTTGCTGAAGACGATGTTAAACGACTCCATCGTCTTGGATGATGAAAACTAAATTCTATTCCAGCTATAGAATCTTGTCTTTGATCAAGTGACCATTTACCACTAAGGACAAGTTCAAATGTATCATTATTATTTCCAAAATCCGGTAGAAATGTTTCACGATCACTATGATTTGTAAAATTCTGTGGCATTGGAATATAAAAATATTTCATACAGAAACAACATAATAAATGTGTTAATTCACGACGAAATCGTTTACCAAAAAATATATATAAATAACATTGTGATGCTGAATTAAATATCATTAAAAATTTACCGAATTCATCTAGATGTTGAAATGCACGATAATGATATGAGATACTAACATATTTATCGGGATTATAGGCAAAAAAAGCAGCAAATGGTATGGACGGCATTATGCAAATAAGATAAATCGAAATAACAATAACAAGCATATGTGTAACATCATTTCGTTTTTGTTCATAAGGATTGATTTGTCGATGACGTCGTTTTGTATGTGCAAGTGTTTGAATAAGATGTAAGTTTAATTTAAATACAACAAGAAATGGTATTATACGTACAAGAAAACAATTAACAAATAATGTTATTGTTAAACGATATGCTAATGATTTACCGAGATCACTTAAACCAGATACCCAAAATGTAAGTGAATTCGATTCACTTTTATTAAAATAACTTATTGAATGATTTACTTTATCAAAGGGATTTCCATTTGACATAGCATGACATGAATTTGCTAACATTTGTGGTATTAAATAAGCTGATGCCAAAAAAAGACATAGAATTAATACAAAAAATGCATTACGACGTGTACACATTTTTTCACCGGTAAATGGATAACAAATCATTATATATCGATCAATAGTAAAACCAAGTGTTATCCTAAATAACAGAATTTTCAAATTTATTTTTCATTTGTACAAGAATAAAAATATATTTACCAAGTTGATAGAGCAAAAGTGCTTGAAGCTAAACCTTTTGCTGATGCAACAAATATACAATTAAAACGACTTGGAGCAAATAAGACTTCTAATTCAAATACAATTACTGATGATAATGTTATACTATTTGATAAACATAATGCTGTTAAATAAGCATAGGTTGATAATGTACGCATACGCCGTCGAAGTAATGTACAAACAGCTAATAGATTACCTAAATTTTTATATACAAAATAAATTTAATTTTTTCAAAACAAAATAATTCAATTTACCAATAATTCCAATTAAACAAACTGATATTGTTAACCATCGAAAAGATGATCGAGTTAACCATGTAGCTAATCCACCATCATATAAAATATCATTCCATGATAAATCAAATGTTTGATCTTCCATATGATGAGGAATATCCGTTGATAATAATTTAGATTTTGTGGTATTTAGAAGATCCTGATTATTGATTGACATGATACTTATGAATAACTATAATCTAATTTTTTGTTCGAATCAAAATAAATGACACTTGATAAATATTAGTTCGTATTGTTTTTTACACTAAGAATGGCCAGCTGTTACCAAAGGAGACATACCATTATTAAGCAAAAAATACTCGGTAACAGGTTGCTTAAGCTTGATCAAATTTCTAAAATAGATTAATATGAATATAGATCTATAATCATCATCATTTTACGAAAAGAATAAAGAAAGACGCATTTTTGAATATCTTTTTCTCATATTATTATATCCCGATGAGCAAAAGGAAATTAAAATCTATGTCGAAGGCAGATATACTCAGTCTTTTTTTTTCTTCCTTTTTTTATTTTTTTACAATATAACATTAGATTAATCAAGACGAATGAGAGTAATAGAACACTGTTGACAACAAAATTCTCATACCATAGAATCAGTTTTTTTTTTGTATACTGAAAGCTTTTCTTGTCAACTTTTATTATTGCCTTTCATCTAGTGTTATTACTAGCGCATCAATTCCTTTTTCTTTGTCTATGATCTTTATATAATAATACTCACTAAATAGAAGTGATCTATTTTTATTTCGAAGATTTAATCTTAAGAATTTATAAATAGAAATCGATTAAAAAGATAAAAAAAAGGTAGAAAGATTACTTTAATGTTTTATTTTTTGCTTCATTACAGGTTTTCTTTCATTAGAATTTCTTACCATTATCTTTAGTTGCAAAAGATGTTACTAAAACAAAAATTGTCTCTCTTATGTTTTGAGTTTTCTTTCTCTTGCACTGTGTGTTTCTCAGTTTTTTTCAGGGAAAATGACAACGCACATTGAGAAGAACAGGAGTTCTCATTTACTCAACTATTTTTAGATTGTAAGTTCATCTAATAACTACATATAATAGACATTTTGATCTATTCTACTCGCTAATTATAACTATAAGAATTAAATTTTTCTCTATTCTTATTCATTACTTGTTTACTCGGTTGATTACTTTTCAAAAGAAGAGTTTTCAACAATAAAAATATACATCTTAAAATAGAAAAAGAAGAAAAATAAAAATTTTAAAAATCGCTCTTACATCTATATTCAAGTTTTTCTCTTATATAATTTACTATGTTATTCTGACTTACATTTAAAATATTCTCATGAATAATTATCTTACGAGCCCACACATATAGATATAGATATGGATTTATATATATAGATATATATGAGAAAAATAAAAACACGCATAATTCCACTTGCTTCGCATTCCAGTTTGGCGTGACTGATGAAAATGCATACTTATTCAAAAAGCTCTGTTATTGTCGATGCTGATGAGAAGTTATTTTTAGAGATTCGTATCCAAGGAAATAATTAGAATTTAGAAATAAGATCTTCTTAATGAGACGCATAAGCATACGCGGTATATAAGATAAATGACACAAGAGAGTTGCCTGTTCGCCTGTTTTTACCTGTAGAAAACGCTTCTTTCCTCTCTCTCTCTCTCTGTGTCTCTCCTGCTCTCGTTCTATAATATGTCTTCTCTTTTTTCTTAACGTTTCTTCCGGTCGCCTATCGTCAGCGACGAACTTAAAGCTATTTTTAGCTTACCCTTATTTTTTTCCCTTCTATAACTATTTCTAAAAAATGTATCTTCTATTTTTCAAAAAAAAAAATAATATAAGAAAAAAAAAGGTCATCAAGCAAATATCCTCATAAAAAGAAAAGAAACGAAATAATGATTGTTAGAAAAAGAAAAATACTTGTAATCAAGTACTTTTCTCTCTATTACCAACTAGAATAACAAGCAAGCAGTGAGATGACATAGTAAACAACATGATCTATTTCATGATCAATTAGTTCAAAGATGCAAACCAGTCATACATATATATGAGTATCTATTTATAAAAAATTAATAGATCCGTATTGAAGTAGAAAAAATAACATAGTATAAAAATAGAATGTTGGTATTAGCTACAAGCTTTTATACAAAACATGAAGATCTTTTGAATATAAATGCTATAATCATTCATTTTCTTTTATAATATAAATATATTTTTGGCGCACATATGTATCCATTAAGTAGAAAAAACATCACGATCAGGAAGCAACAGAAGTTGTGATGCTAATTTTATAGGCACCTGCGACCATATGCTGAAGTCTATGTCATATTTTTAAAGTTATTTTTGTTATTATTAGAATAATAGAATTTATTTATTTAGTATAGTCTCGTTTTTTGCCATTAGTTATATTAAAACTATGATTATTAATTTTGTTGCTTTGCGATATAAATGTATATCCCCTAGTCACTCATTCTAGTATGAAAATATGTTAATGAGACGAAAAATTGTAAGAGAATAATATCGATTTAGCATAAAATGCTGTTGATATGATTGCCCATTTATTAATTATTGAAAATATGCGAAGAGAAAAAAAAAACATATCGATTCGCATCGATAATTAGAACATATTTCTATTGTAAAAGCATGTTTTTCTATATATTTACTGAGAAACGTGCATGTCATTCATAAAATAACTGGAGGGTTATTTTTATAAAAACTGCTTGATGTAAAAATAGATGCATATGCATGAGAAAATAGCATGAAATCTTATTTAACTATCAAAGTTGAATGGATATACACCCGTTAGATATACAAAATCTTTTGTTATTTCGAATAGAAATATCAACTTCTTTTTTTTCTATATTCTTATTAGCTTTTTGTTAAGTATTTATAGTGTTTTGACTGGTTGTGAAAGATATTTAATTATGAAAACATCCTGATTATAGATCAGACTATTCAACGAGAAAAATGAATGCTCTCATATACCTTCTATTCATACCTATACTTAGGATATTTTTAGCATCTATTTTATCCCTTGAGAAACACAAATATTTGCTTACAATTAAATCTAAACGAATCTTCGTTCTTTATCATACAAATAAATACCAAAACGTTTTTTTTTCTTGTTATCGATATTAAATACTATTCTATAAAAAGACTAATAGTTGATAAAGAAAAACATTGCATGCTTCATATATATATAAGATTGATAAGCTAAATTACTAAATCAGACAAAAAAAAATAGTTCTATTCAAATTCAATTGATTGATTAATAAAATTAGTTTTCATTAGTGTATATTCAAAATTGTTTTGATGTTCTTAAATGTCATACAGAAAAACGTATACCTACGGTTGACCTTCGCGTAATTATTCATATTTTATGATAAAAATGAGTACAAAAAAAAAGGTTAAATTCATCAGCATACTAAATTACCTTACGAACTGAAATAACGTCAACAAAAATTAATAGATAATTTTCTTAGACAGTTAGATGTCGATAAGAATGTCTTCTTCTTCTTTTTTTTCCAAAGAATAAATTCTATATAAAGATTATTAATACTTCTAACAACGGAACTAACCACTTTCAAATCATCTATAAAGTATCATCAGCAACGTTTTCTCTTTTTGTTATGAAATGTCTGCAAAATATTTCACAATGTCTTTGATCATAATTTATAATATTTTTCCTAATTTTAATATCCGTTGGAAAGAAAAAAACATCAAATCTTGAGAGAAAATACTAATGATATTACGTAAGAAAAAGATTTCATGAGAAAATAGATTTTCTATAGACAAATTATTGCATTACAATAATTTATATTATCGAATATGTCAAGAAAAATATGTTAAATTAATGCATTTTATTATTTGAGATCTTGTCATTATTTCCGGCTAGCATGTAAATATAGAAATAGTTTTATTAAGATGCATTGATAATGAATGTTTTCTGCATCTTGCGTTTTTTATATTTAAAAATAGATATATCAAGTATATTTCTTTGTCATAGTTTCAAATAATTAAGACATAAGATATCTCATCTATATGTTCAGTCTAGCGCAATAAATTTCAATGGATGAACAGCGGATATTGCTATATTTTAATAACATTTTTTATTACAAAATTCATATATGAACTATAAAAAGAATATTTATTTGAAAATGTATTCAATAATAATCGAGGAAAAATTTGACAGCTTAAGTTATATGACATTCTATATGTCACTAATGGATTTCTGAATAATACATATAATGTTGCATCATCTTATAAAAGTTTCAAATCCTGACTTTTATTTCATTATGAAAATCCTCTTTCTTGTCCTTGACTATTTTAATAATATGTAATATAAATAATTAAATATCATTCCCACATTCACAAGTGCTATACACAATAGAACAATGAACTTGTTCATACTTCATAAATAACTACAAATATAAGGCACGTATATATATTAGAAATAGAAAAAAATATAATATCATCCGGTCAAGTTGTCCGACAAATTGCAGCTTGTAACTATGTGCTTTTTTTTCCTTGAGCATCATCAGTCGACTCAGTACAGTCCAGAGTTTTTCGCGAATACTTAGATATCCGTAAACTCCAGATTTGGAGCACATTGAACTTGATCATGTAGAACATGAAGTTTATCTCTGACTTTTTACAAGTATGCGATTATGATATTTAATTACAAGGAACAAAAATGTCATTATACTCATTTTAATAGACATGACATATCATGGTATTGTTCAGCGAAGTTATAATAATTTATTAATAGATAAAAAAGAATGTGACTTTTGAAAAGAAACAGAGTTTATTTTTATAATCATACTTTTTTTACGTCGTTCATATATATATATATGGATGAATATGATTACTACAGCTGTTATAAAAAGAAAACCTTCGTTTAAAAATAAATAAAATTAATGACTTTTTCTTTTTTACATTTAGAAAATAGAATTTCCTGTCTAAATAAACGTTTTTTTTTGTTTAATTATGACAAATTAAAGAATACTTTAGAAAATTAAAAATAGCACGTACTGTCATATACAGAGTTATATATATATACATACAATAAGATGATAAAAGGTTAAAAAAATCTGTAGAAAAGTTAATGCAAACATGTCACAAGCCTTAATTCTCTCAATAGAGTGATTAGATGTGACATATTCAAGCGATAAAAGAGTAGGAAATTAAAGATAAATCTATTATTGTCAAATCGAACTTTGAGATCCTATTTTATAACTGAATTTAGGGACAAATATCTTTTCAGTCCATATATTTTATTTTTTTCTAGGTAAATATCCTTGAAACTAATAGTTAGATATACAATGAATACTTATAATAATTAGTTATACAAAATTTTTTTTGTAAGAAAATAAGTGCAGTCTAATTATAGTTTTGTATTATTTTTTAATATCTAAATTATTCTATTTACACCGACTTATTTTCTTTTCATAAGTAACATCATGATTTAAAGTGCACGTGGATCATATTACCTATTTCCATTGAGATGAACATACAGAGTCTTAATTTTCAACTATATATATACATCTTAATTACTTATTTGTATTGCGTTGATTAAATTCTTTTCATAATCAAATGTCATATGAGATCAATTAATCTAGTCTTTATTTGAAATCTATTAGATTTACATAGTTATAAAACCAATGTCAATGAGTATATACAAACAAGAAAATATTGAACAATACAATTATAATTCTAAATTTCAGTTTAATCATAGATGTTTATTTATATTCAAAGGCACATTGTATGATACTTTTTTTTTCTATAATTTTTAAACATATGATGGCATAGTTGTTGGTAAAAGGGCTAAAGAATTTTTAATATATGGATATGTACCATTATTGCAAAATGCTCCATTAAAATCATCCATATCAACTAAAAATGAAATAATAAATAATGAATATTAATTTAAAGACAACATACGAGACCAAACAAACATGCCACCTAAATTATTAGCAACTACATAAGCAGCACGTTTTCGAATATTATCAATTGTTTCATAGGATATCCATTCACGATCTTTAAACATATATTCAGATTCTGAACCATCGGATACAACACGTTTTTGCCATTTTATATCTGTTTGTAGTAGACAAACCTTATATATATATATCAGATAAAATATAAATATTATCATAAAAAATGATGTATTTATCTTACTTCAAAATAAGAAAGAAAACCAGCACTACGTGTAAATGGACCTGCAGTACCATTTCCAATTGTTGGTGATCGAAGTTTATTTTTATCAGATTGTGCTAATAAAAAACTTCGAGCAAATAATGGAACACCAAGAACAAGTTTATGTGCTGGCGCACCATTTTTTAACCATATTGTAATACCAAAATCCTATAAAAAAACATCTCTTTTTAAAATACAAATAAAAAATTTCATTTCATACTTGATTAAGTATGCCATCTCTGTCAAGTTCATCATAACGTCGATATAAGGGAGCATGAATTCCTGTATAATTTTGCCATGCACCATGAAAATCACTAGGAAAATAAAATTAAGAATTTCGCATTTATTTAATTACCTGAATAAACTTACTAAGTCATAATATTGATAAAATCTAATATTCTAGAATAAACGCAAATCTATTATAAATAAATATCAATCTATTAAAAAATTTACTTTGAAATTTTTTCTATTTCATAACCATGTTCAATAATATCTTGATTCGCAGCAACTGCTGCAGCTAATATTAATCGTGGTTGACCTGTAACTATAGCTTGAGCTGTTGCTGCATCTTTGAATTCCTATTAAATACATATATTTTTCTTGATTTAAAAACAAAAAAATTCTACTTGAAGAAACATGGTAAAATAATATTTATCATCTATTTGACCACCACGAATACCTGGATATTCCCAATCAATTTCTAAACCATCAAAATTATGTTTTCGAAGAAAACTAAAGCAAACAAAACGAAGTATAATCCCGGAAATCATTAATAATTATTTACTTAATAGTTTCAAAAATAAAATTTCGTCGTTTTTCATTATTATGTACCATTGTTGAAAATGCATATGATTTCATATTCCATCCACCTACAGCAAGTAATGTTTTTAATTTTGAATTACGTACTTTAAGCGCATTGACACGTCGATAAAGATCTAGTTTTAAATAACAAAAAGAGCAAGTTAATCTTTAATTCTCTATATAAAAAAACCTTCATCATTTTCTTCAACTTTATTTATTGATAATGTTCGATTATTAATATAAGCAAATGCATATATAATATGTGTACAAAGAAATGGATCAATATGTTCGGGTTCAAATTTAGCTGGACCAAGTCTATATTGAGACCAATTGGTAAAATAACAAATTTTCTTGTATTTAAGTTCGTCTAAAATAGAATCACAAATATTTTAAATATGTCTGAGAAGATGATTATAGTAGAAAACTTTGGAATTATATGATTATATTCAACTAGAAAAAAAATACTTGATTTAATGTCAAGATTATACGAGTGCAGTCTGCCAGATCTAAGTATAGTAATTTTAGACTCAACAGTCCTTAATCTCGGATAAGATCATGATTTCTTTCTTTGTAAGAAATGTACATACCTTCATTAATAGCAGTACGATGACGATGTACAATGGAGAAATGCCCTAATTTTGAATTAACCGATGATTTTTCTTGAACAATTGGTTTATCATCTATTTTCATTAATGGAGAACCATTTGACCATATAACGCCTGATGAGTGTTCTGTTATATCACGTTTAGCTCGCTAGAAAATAAAAAAACTTTTTTAATATTTATTTATTCGGTTATTACTTTTCGTAAAAGTTTCTTCATTGAAAATGGTTCCATTAATTTTTCAATAGTTGGTGGTAATGAAACAAGTCTTTTATGTTGTTGTCGTTCTAAATCTTGATCATCATTTGGCATAGGTGTAGCTAAAATAAAACTAGCTACACGATGAAATTGTGCTATTTCTGTTGATGGTAATAAAGCCAATTGTTCAAATGCATCATTTATAGGAATTTTAACTAAACATTGTTGTGATGTTTCATCGAATGTTGATCGATTCGGACATCGATATAATGACCAACTACTAAGACCAATATAATTTAATACACATGGATAATACTGTGATGGATCATTTTGATATGCACATAAACGTGGTAATTCTGTTATAGAATCTAAAAAGTTAAATCGTATTTTAAAGAGAAGATTTTTTTTTTGAAATATCCTACTTGAAATTTGTTGTGCAATTAAATAATTATTTAATAAATAGCAAAAATAAAATGAAAAAACGAAATTCATTTTTTATATAATCATACTGAAATAGAACAATACAGATATTCTTATGATCAAATAAATTGAAATGTTATATCTTCTTTGTCTCTCTCTCTCTCTCCGCTCGCTCTCTTCCATCCACTTCGCCTCTCCCTCTTTTAAAATGCATTCAGATTACATCATTGAATATGTTGGCAAATCTTATTTGAAGATGATGACAAGGATCAATAGAATATTTAAGAAGATGTATACTTTTATTTGTTTCGCAATATATATATATAACATTCTTCACTTATCATCGTTGTTGGATATTTACAACTATGATATATATAAATGTATACAAGGGCATTGTCAGTATTTAAATAGAATGATCCTTTCTTTACTTTCTCATATTTCTTATTATTTCGATTAAGATCAAGTTCATTTCTTGTATAGAAAATAAACATTCAGTGAACATTTGTTTTATGTTGTATGTAGATGGCATATGTTTATTTAATTGCTAAAGTTTTATTCAACTTGTTCACACGTATTGTGTATATGTATATATATATATTTGTGTAAGCACATGACATTTGATGTTTAGTTGTATATACTGTGTATATATATACATAAGATAAGCTGTTGACATGTGGATCTTATACTATTGCACGGAGGATGAAACTGTTTGATTAGTGAGCATTTCTTTTTACTCTTCTTATTCTACTCACTATTTGGTCATTTTATATTGTATCTATCAGTCATTGTTGTCTTCGTATGCTTTTATTTTGCTGGTCAACTTGAACAAAAAAAAAACGAAAGAAAATTTAAATATGGGTCAATATTATCCAGTACTATCGTTGATGTATTACCTCATATTCGTCCTACTCATCATTATTATTGGTGAACGACATAATGTGAATGCAAATCGAATAAGTATGTCTGAGAGTGTGTGATAAGAATCAATGATTAGATCATTCTTTTGTTATGCTTTTTTTTGTCATACATACAGATTATTTAAATTTTGAAAAATCCTTTTTTTTAGCACCGATTAATGAAGAATCATCGAAGATGCTTCGCGTATGTTATATTACAAATTGGTCTCGATATCGATCTGGTGAAGCGAAATTTGAAATTGAATTTATTGATCCATTTATGTGCTCGCATATAATCTATGCCTATGCAATTATTGATGATCATAAACCAGAAATAGTACCAGTACAAAAAGATGATCTTGGTATAAAAACAAAATTCTCATAGGAAAAATTTGAATTTTTATTCTGTTTGTAGAACATTATCGTGAACTTGCTTTGTTAAAAAAATCAAATCCAAATTTAAAAATATTAATTCGATTAGGAGGTAAAATTTCTCTATATACACGATTTTTACGACATCCAAATATGGCTGCACAGATAGTTCGAAGTCTTATATGGTAACTGTCATTCGTTTGAAAACTTTCATTAGATTAATATTGTTGTTTTGAAATCTCGAAGGTTTATGGCAACACATAGTTTTGATGGAGTTGATATTGCACTTGAATTTGCTGATGCAGATGTTCCAGAAGATAAAGCAGCATTAACAACATTACTTGAAGTTTGTTAAAAATTATTATGAAGAAAAAAAAAAATATACGTGACTTTTTTTAGGAATTAGGAAAACAAAGACGATTAATGCATCGAACAATTATTACATTAACAGCTGCACCATTCGTAGAAAATCTTTTGAAAGTATATGACATCCGAAAAATTGAAAGGTAATATTTGAACACAAAAGAGAGAGAAATTTTATAAAATTAACACATTAGTTTTATTTTATTAGTCTTGTTAATTATATTAATTTAATGACTTTTGATTTTTATGGTAAATATATATCTATCTCAAGAATTGAATAAAATTATTTAATTTATTATAAAAACTAGGTCCATGGGATGAAAAAACAGGTATATTTGCACCATTATTTCACCAACCTTATCAATTAGAAACTGAATCACTTCGAAATGTTGTAAGTAAAATAAATAATAAATTGAATTTTTGTTAGATGAATTTTTTAATAGGATGGTCTTGTTAAATTATGGCTTAGTCTTGGTATACCACGAGAAAAACTTATTATTGGTATACCAGCTTATGGTCGGTCATTTTCATTATCAACTGAACAAAAAGGTCTTCATGCACCAAGTTAGTCTAATTTTTTTGCTTTAGATTAATATTATAATTCGATATATTTTAGCTAATGGGCCAGGTCATCCTGGTCGTTATACAAAAACGAAAGGTTTTCTTTCCTACTATGAGGTTATTATTATTTTCATTCTCTTAATAAAAAAAACTTTTCTTATAATTAGGTCTGTGAAAAAGGACAATCTCAAAATTGGCAAAGAGTATGGTTAGATTCTGAAAAAGGATGGTATATGACTAGTGATGATCAATGGATTAGTTATGAAGATGTTGATTCAGCAGCACTTAAAGTAATTCTTTTTGTATAGTAACCATCAATTTCATAATAAATAAATTTTTTATAGGCACAATATGCAAAAGCAGAGCAACTTGGTGGTATATTTATATGGAGTATTGATAATGATGGTAAATCGTATAGATTTCAATTTAAAATTTTAGTATTTTTATTATATTTAAGAATTTTCTGGTTTCTTTTGTAATACGGAACCATTTCCAATTACTCGACAAGTTTTTTCAACTCTTAATCTTCCATTACCAGAAACAAGTTCACGAACAATTGCTATTCATCAACGAATTCCATCTATTATTGGATCTCCTACTAATACTCCAACTGTTCGTTTTGTTAATGTACAAGCTCAAACAACACCTCCACCAGCAATAATTCCAAATAATCTACAACAATTATTAAATGCTCTTAGTATTCTATCAGGTACAACACGTTATACACCTATATTAGAATCATCATCATCATCAGCCGCACCACCACCACCACCAGTAGCACATCAAACATATAATGCTGAACAAATATGTTCTCGTCATCAAGCTGGTCGTAATGGAATTTATGGTGATCGAAGAAATTGTTCAATATTTTATTTTTGTGAAGGTGATGATTTAAATGCATTACGTTATCATATATTTTTCTGTCCACCTGGACTTGAATTTTCTATGGAAGCATGTACATGTGATTGGCCAACAGGTCGTTCATGTCATACAACAAGTGATACATTTTGTGTATCACATGCATCACCAGCAACAACTACAACAACAACAACACCAATACCGCCAACATATCCTACAAATATTCCTCAATCAGCAATGATTGCATTAAATGGTTTAGGTCAATTATTAGGTACGTCGGGTAGTTCATCACCCATATTTGATTGTAATGGTCGACGTTCTGGTCTCTATCGAGATATGTATGATTGTACGAAATTTTATTTTTGTACAACAAATAATCAACCATCGGATGGTACATTACTTCGTTATGATTTCATTTGTCCAACAAATTATGCATTTAGTATGACAACTTGTCGATGTGAACTCGGACAAAGTCATACATGTCATACATTAACAAAAACAGACTGTCTTCTTTTATAAAAATATAACGATTGATTTAAAAAACTAAACATTCATATTTGTTATTATTTCTATTGATATTAATTATTACAATAAAATTATATGCTAAATTGTTCATATCGAATATTCGAGATTATATTTATTCAAATAATCTATCGATCTAATTAGGTGAAGAGTTTCATGTGTAATTAGTCTGAATTGATAATAATCAAATTTTAAAAATAAATATGATTAAGCATTATTCATCTATTCTTTATGTAGATGATTATCACATGATGAAAAAAAAAAAAACGCGAAAGAATATATGTTCATCAGTTAACTGATGAGACTCTTTTTCATCTGAATATAAAGCTTTCAATTCTGTCTACAATCACATTTTGATAATATGAAGTTAATGCAAATAGATGAATATTTCATATCAAATATTTTCATTTTTATTGTCTGCTCATTTATCATCATTAATCCACAATGACTTTGACCAAGTGCTTTAGTTAAAAATGACAATGTCAATAGTTAATGTGCATATCTATAGAGAAGACACTGAACAGAAACATGCGCGCATACTCATTTTCGTTATTTTTTTCGTCTTCTCTATTATCTTTCTCGAGTATAGGAGAGAGAGAGAGAGAGAGAGAAAAAGATAGAGTTAGATATGAAAAAAATATGTATATATAAATATACATTGCTGTACATCACTTATCTATATGTATGAATTTCTTCATTCATTTCTTTTGTCTATTGTTGTCGTTTTGTTGCCACGGTTTCGGTTCGTTGAACATTCGGACACGAGATGAGTATGACCTTTAAAAGTGTCTGTATATATATCTATATATTCTGTTCACTTGTTGAGCTTTAACCGTGTCCATATCTTCATTTATATATACGAGAGTAGAAAGAGAGAAAGAGAGAGAGAGAAAAAAACTAGCGTCGGTTTTTACAATGTGATGTGATCAAAATTGACCATAAAGCATTGAATATTAAACTTCAAAACAAAAAATATCGGTAATAATTATATTTTTTTTGGTCAGACAATTGGAGCACGAAGAAAAAAATTCTATTTAGATAATATTAAATATGAATTTAACGATGCAACAACCCATAACCTATCCATTTTATATGAGTTCACCTCGTATTCCATTTTCTGTACCTTGGTCAACAAATCCTTATCATTACTCCCCTGTTACTCAACAACATTATCCTGCAACATATCAAACTTCACCATCATTACCGCATGTACCTTATCCAGCACCATTTATTCTTCCACATCAACCACGACAAGCTCAACCTTCAAGAACTTTACACCCATCTTCATCTTATACAAATACACGTTATAATCATTTAAAACAAGCTACCAGTCATTTTACTCGACAACGTTTTACAGATACATCAATACAATCCCAACGTTATGCTATTCCCAATCATCAATATCGTCCATCAAAAACAAAATCTTATACTGATTTACATCAATTCTTTCAACAAAATTCATCACATTTATTGAAAGCTCATTCATGGCATGCAATTAATCATTTACAACAACATCAACAACAACCAAATTTAAATATGAGTTATGCAAATGAAATGCCATTCAATCCTCCACCACCACCACCACCTCCTGTCCACCATCATCATCATCATCAGCAACAACCACAGCAATATGCACCAAAACAAAAGAAAAAATCCCATCGAAAACAATCATCCCCATCACCAAAACAAGTACCTGATCATGGAATTGTTCGTATAACAACATTAGATGAAATGCCAATTATGAATAATCCAATATATCAAGAAAGTCAATTAGATCCGAATAAAAATTTAAAAATAAATGATATAAATCATAAAAATTATGATAAAGAATTATCTTCATCTAGTTCTAATAGTAGTAGTCATTCATCATTACAAAAACGTTTAAATGGTTCATTACGAAATGATCCATTACTTACAGCTGCTATGGAAGATTTTCGACAACTTCGTCAAACATCAAGTCGACAAACATCAATAACGTATTTATCAAAAAAACAAAATTTGTTTTTTTATTTTATTTTAATTTCTATTTTTTAGTTCACATCGACGAGATTTAAGTCGTGATAGTCTTTGTTCAAGTTCAACACATCGTTCAATATCATCGAGATCTCGTAGTCATAGTCAATCAAGTTTTACATCACTTGAACGTTTAGAAATTCGACGTTTAATAAAAACATTTAAAACAAAAGATATTAAAAATTTAAATAATTCTTTTCAAGTATCATCAATTATTTCATCAACAACAGAAAAATTAATAACTAAACAACAACAACAACAACTTCAATCATCATCATCAATGTCATTAGCAAAACCAAAACGATCTTCAGTTACTGAAGAATTAGATCGACAATTTCGTAAAATACGTTCAAATAATCCCGATGAAGATTTAATTTATGTTAAACCTTCATTAATTCATAAAGACAAACCATTTGATGAACTTTTATATCAAACCAAAAGTCATACAATTGATGTAAGTTATTCATTTAATTCAAAAAAATGAAATAGACAATGTGTTAATTAACTATTGCATAATCAGAGACATGTCCGCTATTTTTTATCAAAATAATTTGATTAAATTAGTAATCGTAACTCATTTAGCTTTGATACTACCGCTATGTGTTAAATTATATAGAAAAAAAAGCTATTACTATCCATGTAATCTCTGGATAAGATTCACATGGTCAGGATGAGGGGGCTCCAAGTCAGTGTTTTATCCAGGGGGGGGGGGGGGGGGCACGGGGATTTTTGCCCTCTCGGAGGGTACCTCTGCCTCCCCCCCCGGAATTCAGTAAAATTACACTTTTTGCGCCTGAAACTCTACGTTTGCGCCCCCCACCAAAAGAGAGATTTTTGCCCTCTCGGCAATTAATTTCGCATCCTCGGACGAAAAAAGCTGAATAAAACAGTGCTCCAAGTTTTTCGATAAACTGTAACTGTGTACTTTTTTTTCTTGAACATCACCAATCGACTCAGCACAGTTCACAGTGTCTACCGATTCACATTTAGGAAATTTTGTTAAAGAACCACTCAAAATATTTTTTATTATTTTTTTTTAGTCATCAAAATTTCAAAAACTCGATGAAAAAACATATGAAAATCCTATATTAAGCATATCTGTTCCGCAAAGTAGTCCAATACTTTCATCTAAATCAAAAATGAATGAAATAAAACCTGAATATGCTATTCCAATAAAACATATTTCGGAAGTAAATCTTCGTTCAAATAAAAAAGATGAACAAGTACGTAGTTTTAGTTTTTGTAAACCAATGAATGATATTATTAATGAAACTGATCAAACACGTCCCGTATCAATGTTAAATTGGTTACAATATGGTTTAACAAATCCACTTCCAACAACATTTCAACCGCATAAAAATCATAAGAATCAATATGATAATTCATTAGTTAAAGAAAATATTTATGCATCTGATATTGATGTACATATACCATTATCAAATGATAAAGATTATCTTAATAATCAAGCATTATTAAAAGATTATCTAAAAGAATGTAAAAATTCTTCATCAACACAAAATAATTCAATATTAAATGATTTTTCACGTTTATTTACACGTTTTGGTAATAATAAACATGAACATAAAAGTAAATTAAAAACAAAATTACATAAAAATAATAATATCAATAATAATAATAATAATGTACGTTGTTCAATTATGTAGAGAATGACTTTTGCTTATCTTATTTATTATATATGTGTAGATTTTTAGTATTTAAATATTCACAATTTTTGTTTCGTTTTCATTTTTTTTTTGTTTGATGCTTTTTTCATTTATTTCACAAGATAAAATTTTTTCTCGAGTAACTTTAGTTAAACGACAAAATATTCCACGATTATTCGTTGTTTGAAAATAACATCTACCACGTACAATACCATTTGTTTTACCTAAAGATGAATCATCAAGTATAACACCAGCCCAATCACCTGTGCCTAATGTTGTTTCACCAATATATAATATAATACCTGACCATTGACCATTAACATATATTCGATCACCAATTTTTAATGAATCAGTATCATGATTAAGAATTGGTTCGAAACGAGATAATTCATGTGTTGTTGCACTTGTAGAAAAATTTAAACGAGAACGTGGAGGATTTGATATGATTTTGTGACAATCTTGATGGCTTGTACTATGTGGAAGTCGTGTTGTTGTTGTTGTTGTTATTTTAGAAGAAGAATTTTTTTGTTGAATAGAAGATAAATTAGTTGATGATGAACGTGGCAGAATTGTTGTCGCAGACTTTCGCATGTTTATTACAACTAGAAGTGAGTAAGAAAAAAAGGAAAGAGAATGATCATCACGTACATATATAATTGTGTTATTTATAATACACCAACTACTATTCATCTGTTCCTTCGACATAATCAATCCCAGAGATGAAAGAAAACAAAATCACTACTTTGATTTTTCCCTTTAGCAATCTCTGATTAAAGTTATCCATTGTTGTTGATAAAAAAAATACTGAAAAGTATTGATAAAAATACAATTGCTTACTTACATCAATCTTTATTGCGTAAACTTGTTCTTCTTCTTCTTTTTTTTTTTTGTATATTGTATATGTAAATTTACGATTGAAATCAATTGAAAGAAAGAGAAATAGTATGTGTACTTATCTACCTCCTATTACATCGATGTTGTCGTCGTTCATCTAATTATTTGACCGGAGATTACTAAATTGTACACGTAACAATACATTACTATTCCTCTTTTTTTTTTTATTTCAATTAGTCTCGTGTCTTTTCTACCTTTTATCTCCTTCGTCTTCTTTTCCAAACACTACTGAATTTATTATAGAGTAGAGAAAACAAATGACGCACTTTCTCTGTTCTTCTTTTTCCTATTTTTTTCTTCTTCTATGCCTGTAATTGAGCCTTATATATATGAGTATGCACGCTTTTTTTCCATTCCTTCCATCATCATTCATTTCAATAGATTGCTTCTTAGCTATAGTAAAAGATCTCTTGAGAATAAGCGAGAGACAGCATTGTATTAATAACTATTTTATTAAAAAATAAAAAGTACACTAAGAAAGAAAAAATTATATAAATTAGTTATATTGCATAGTATCAAAGTAAATTATAAGTCTTGGTTTGAAGATTATCAGACTAATGAGATGTATAATGTTAACGAGAAATGCTGCCCTATTAATGATGATGATGATGATGTTGATAATATAGATTGGTTAATTTAGTCAATGGATTACTGTCTGTCAGATCTCGAAATGAAACATGTCGTTCATCAAGGTTATTTGTTGCATTAATAATTCGTAATGGTTGTTGTTGATTCATGTCATTAGATGATGGAGATAGATTTATTTGATGCATGTCTGTCTGATTATATGATAATCTAAATCCAATAAGAAGTTTGAACAAAAAAAAAGACAAAATAAATTCTCTTGATATTTACTGTTGTATTTGTTGATCAACAGACGATAATTCATCTGCTACTTGCATTATTTTAAGTAACATTATACTTCGTTGTTCATTTAATTCAAGTTTACCATGAACATCTTTTTGATATTCACTTAACATAAAGACTAGATCATGTTCTAATTGTCGTATACGACACTCTATAAATGGTGATTGTTGTGATGAACGATTCGATTTTAATGCACGAAGTTGCCGACTTTTCTGTTGAATTGTATCAAGTCTTAAGAGGAGAAGAAGAATACATATATATATGCATATTTAAATGAATTACTTCATATTAGCAAGATGAACTTCATTACGTGTTGGTTCTAATGAAGCTAATCGATCAAGAGAGTTAAGTGCCTGTTTTAATGAATCAAGATAAACAATAAGTTGCTCTCGATGTTGACTCATGGTTAAAAAGAATTGTCGTTGTCGATGATCTTTAGATACATCCGCTGAATAATAAATATATATATATGAATAATTTAAGTATTAGAGAGACAAAAATAGAACTAAAAAAAAGCTAATAGCAAACAAAAGCAGCGCTTACCCCACCTGGAACTGTTGATAAATGATTCATAGAGTTATAATTAGGTAGTAGTATTGGATTATTAATCATTTGTCGTGATGATAAAAACTTTTAAGAAAAAACGAATTTTCAATTAAAAAATAATATTAAATTTTAATTTACTTCTTGTACAAGCGGTGATGTTGATCTATTATTAATTGATGGCGGTATGTATGGCGGCGGCGGCGGTGGTAGTGTTTTTATAAAAGAATCATCACGTTTTTTCTGAATTTCTTTTAATTCTTCACGTAAACGTTTAACACGTTCTTCACCCATTTTTAAATCTTTTCTTAATTCATTAAAATTAACCGATGATAAGGGTAACATCGCTGAACATATGAAGAAATTTAATTTCAATTTTTTTGTCAATTATTCTTACTTGTTGTATTAGGTAATTGAGAAGTTTCATATTCTGTTACCGTCGGATGGTTTGTCAGTAAAGAATTTGTTGTGTCAATATTTGTAACTTGTAAATATTGTTTAATCATTTCTGCTTGTTTTTTTTGTCGATTAAATTCATCAAGATCTTGAGCAGATATATTATTCATGGTAATAAATATTAGCCAAATTTTTATTTACATAAAAAAACACACTATAAGAAAACAAAACAGGTTAAATAAACAGATATTATATGATTCATCATATAGAAAAAAAGAAAAATAAATCGCCGACAAAAAAACAAAAAATATATGATTGATAGATTTATTGATTGATTGCGATCAGTTTCTTTTCTCTCACCAAACATATCTATTCTCTAGTTGAGCAATAGAACTATAAATAGGCATTTTCTATATTAAGAATTATATCGATTTCATTAACATATTTTATATATAATTTGATCGAATAGCAGATAAAAAAAATACTAGCATTTAGATGGCTTATTAGGAAAAAAAGATCATTTTATGGTCTACATCTGTTCTCGCATTAATATATTTTACTATATTAAAATATATCTTTAAAGTAACACTCTACATGATTACATATTAGTGTATTCAGTTGTAGTAATAGATAGCTTATGGAAAAAAAAAGGAAACTATATGTTTATGTATTGCTATTATAAACACATAAATCATTAAATCCTATTAGCAAACTTCATCATCATAGTAATATCGAATCAAATGATATCGATACTAATGGTAACATGTTTTGTTAGATACTATTTAATCTTTGTTATTATTCGAAAAAAAATATTCTATACATCAGAAATATGATACACTGGTAATTGAGTTATCAACAAAGTTTAACTTCAAAAATTATCTTATTTTAAACAAGTAACGCTCGTGTAAGGACTCGCTTAGCTCTTTCTCACAGAAATGGTGTTCTACAATGCTACGGGACCTTTTGCTTATATAATTTGCAAACACTAACATCAGATTCGAAATACCTCTAGAAATGTCTCTTCTGAAAAATCAGTTTTCGGTGTTTTTTTGACCCTGCGGACAAACAAACAATTTATTTCTGCTGGACTCTTCTCTACGAGAAAGAGAATTATACAATCATTCTAATGCAAGATCATCCTTAACAAAAATATATTACCAATTCCGTGATGCATATATTTCGTAAAAATCTCGGTATTGGAATGTAGTGACATCGTTTTTAAATGGTTGATTATATCTTCCAATCTCTTTTACATTACCAGAATAATTAATTGCAACCATTTTTCCTTCTATGTATTGTTTACTGTGAGGATCTTTTTATTCATTCTTCGTTTTTTTTGACACATTTGACGTTATAATAACAACTGAAAAATTAATATATTTAATTTCATAATTTTCTTGGAATGAATCGAATAAAAATTATTTTATTTTAATTTGCTTAATTTTTTATATGTAACATACTTATGCACTTTAAATTGAACAAAGACAATAGCAAATGATCAAGAAAGAGAATACGAAAGAAAAAGATTGTTCATAACGTATAAACAAAGATTACACACAAACAAAATGAAAATGACATTTCTTTTACGTTTTCGAATGAAAAAAATATTTCATTCAATAAGATTTTCTCCTAGTAGAATAAATAGCTAATAATATACTTTCTTAAATTACGGACTTGTGTTTTTCCTCAATGACAGTAACCTTGTGTACTCAATGAACTTCGTTTTTTTGTTTATTTTCCTTCTAGATTGTACTTTATTTAATTAAGCAAAAATTCGAATGTCGATACAATCAGCTGAAGATTTTGATCCAACATCATCGACACCTGTCTTTGGTAGTGCTGTATCACAAACAAAAATTCAACAACAACAACAACCAAATAATGATTTAGGAGGCACGGAAAAATTATTAACACCTGAATTGGCTGTTAATGGACAAAATAATACAACAAATAATAAAACTAGTGATAATTTAGATAATGGTAATACTGAATCTGTAAAGGAAAATACAGGTGCAAGTGATTCAACAGATGTACATGTTAATGGACAAAATGGTAAAACAGAAGTTGATACAGTTTCATCAGTCAATGCAACAACTAAAGATAATGCTAATTCAGTTGTAGACTCGAGTTCAGCAGTAGAAGCAGCAAATACAATCGAAAATCCAATTCAAAATAATACTCTTCCAACACCATCAGTTGAACCAACTGATAGTATTGCATCAACAGCTACAGCACCAACTGATGAACCACCATTAACTGGATCCGAACCAGGACTAACAACATCAGCCGATATTCCTAAAAAAGATTTATCAACTATGCCAACAATTAAAAATGATAATTCTGGTCCACCTGCTCCCGGTCCACCAGTTGAAACAACATCAACTTCAACATCTAATGATAATGTTCCTGCATCAGCTACAGCTCCTGAAGCAACTGTTCTAGCTGAATCTACAACAACACCAGAACATAAAACTAAAGTAAGATATTTTCTAATTTTTTTTTAAATTTATTTATTCTTATATAAAATAGTCTCCTCGTGGTAAAGCTAAATCACCTATTGTATCAACTCCACCAACACGTCAATCATCACGTAGTCGAAAACCTGCTTCATCATCATCACAGAATGAAGACGACAAACAAACAGCTGAAGAAGTTCAAGCACCCGTAACCAAAAAAGTTGAATCCTCACCACCACCAGCACCAAAACGTACTAAACGTCAAGCAGCAACTGTCGCTACAGATGCTATACAAGCAGGTAATTAACTAAATTTAATATTTGCTAAAAAACAGATTCTTGACCTTTTTTTAATTTATAGGTACTAGTTCAGCTGAAGAAGAAGAAGAAGAAGCAGAAGCTAAGGATGAATCTGATGATGAAGATGCAGTTCCATCTGATGCAGAATATGATGATGATATGAAAGGTAGTAAATCAAAAAAAAAGAGAACTCCATCACCACGTAAAGGTGGAAGAGGCTCAGGAGGAGGTCGTGGACGAAAACGTGTAGCATCATCATCACCTAGTACATCTAAAAAGAAAACAGCAACACCAAAAGGAAAAAAATCAATTACATCAAATGATGAACAACAAATGGATGTTGATAAAACAGAAGTAACAACGACTACAACAGCAACAACAGCAGCAGAACCAGCACCAGCAGCAGCAAGTGAAACGGTTCAAACACCACCAAAAAGAGGACGAACAAGTGGAAGCAAGAAAACACCAACATCAGCATCAACAACACCAGAACCAAGTGGAGATTATGTACGAAAATTACGACCACGTAAATGAATTTAATACAACAAAAAAAAGGATTTCAATACATTCATTTTGTTTTTTGTTTCTTTGTATATGTTGATTTCTTTTTTTTTTGTCTCTTTATTCTGGTTGCGCGCATTACTTTATTATTGTCAAAGTCAATTCTCTGACTTTTTTGTCTTTAATTTGGTCAGCGGAATTTATTATTTCTTTTGAACATATATATATATATATTTCAATTACTTATATTAGATGAAAAACCAAACCCTACGTGTGTTTAGTTCTTTATCCTTATCTTCTAGCTAGGACATATAAATATGTATTCTTTTCTTCGTCTCTGTTTTTTTCTTGTCAAAATTGCTAGATTGTCTCTCTCTGTTTATTGTTTTGTCATTATGTTGTTTAAAAGATAAATGCGCTGGAAAAAATTTAGACAGAATGAAGGAAGAAAAAAAAATAAATAAAACTATGTTTCAAAAACATTTGTCGTTTCATTTTTTGTTTCCTTCTTATTCTTTTGCTGTTATACAACAAACAAATATCTTTTTCTTTCTTTCTTTCTTTTTTTTTGGTTTCTTTGTATCTTCTATTCTCACCACATTTCAAAAAAAAACATGATGATTTATTAAGAAGCAATGAAATAGTTCTTTCTTTACTTTTTATTTAAACTTGCCACGTTACATATTCTTTAGATTGTTTGATGATTCATTGCCACGACGACAAACAATTTGTCATTCTTGATCAAAATCTATTTTTGAGTCATATATATGCACATACAAAAGACTGGAGAAATAGTATGGGCGCTGATACTATAAAAGATTTCATATGGAGGAAAGATTTGTTTTATGTTGAACAACCATTTCGTAAGGCAAATATCGAACAAATGGGAAAGAAGAAGAAGAAAAAGAACAATATGGTATGCCCGATTTTTACCTTAAGATAATATGTAGTTATTCTTTGAAATTTTGAAGTACATTAGATTCTAACATAAGGTAACGATAAAGATAATGAGTTTTTTTTCTTTTCTTTACACACAATTGAATTATTTTAATTATAGAAATAAATACTAAGACCTTGAGAATATTTTATACATATATAATTGACGTAAATGCTAATGAGAAATGCTGATACAGGAGAGAAAAAAAGATTAAAGAAGCTTTAAATTCATCTCACATATAACGTGATTTGAATATTTTTTAGAAACGAACTCATGACGAAGCATTTGAAGAATCACAAAATGATTTAGTATTAAAAGTAAATTCTTGTCTATGTAATATTTCTTATGTTTATAATTATTTTCAATAGCTTAATCAAGCAGTAGATTTTTGTAAAAATAAACTATTATCTAATAATGAGATTTCATTAATACAAAGTGAACATACATTTAATGATGTTCCTTTTGCTGAAATAGCTACTCAACAAAGTGATAATATTCGACCCATTCAACAAATTCCTCTAACTGGTAAAGATTTTTTTGAAAGAAAAAAAAGGACACTAATTTTTAAAAATATATCGAATAGATTATTTTCTTCGTGCATCAAAATTGGGTATACAAACAAATATTCTTTATACACATGATAAAATTCATCCAAGTTTAATTGATACTGCTATTGGCGGACAAATTTTATTACCAGAAAATTGTCGATTTCTATGGTCTGATATGAAAAATGCAAGGTTACTTGTAAGTGGTGAGAAAAACATTTTTTTGAAAATTAATAAAATGTTTCCTATGTTGTTTTTTTTTTTAAAGAAGGAACAAAATATTCATTTATTGTCCTTGATCCTCCATGGGCAAATAAAAGTGTAAGACGAAAACATCCTTATAATTGGTCAGATTTTACTGATATTAAAAATTTACCTGTTGAAAATTTAATTGATCATACAAAATCATCATTAATTTGTTGTTGGTCAACTAATTGTGATAAAGTTGAAGAATTTATAAAAAACGAATTATTTACTAAATGGAACTGTCAATATTTAACAACTTGGTATTGGTTAAAAGTATGAAATGATATTTTATAATCATTTAAAGAATAGGTCATTTTCTATTCTAAAGAATATGACATTTCAATATATTTTACCAATTATTTACAACTGTGAATCTTTTATTTAATTACGTGATAGAGCTAAATAGTTGTTCATGAATTCCCAATTCATCTGTCATACTAAAGAGTTCATTTGTATGAAGAAGAATATTTTATCTTTTTGAGTGGACAGATAATTAACACTCTTATGTTGATAAAATTTGATCGCAACTTCACGTACTATACTGAAGAGCTTTTATCATAAAAGAAATTTTTTTTCTAGGTAACTAGATCTGGTGAACCTGTACTTGATTTAACATCATTAGATAAAAAATCTTATGAAACATTGATACTTGGTTATACTGGAGATGATGATGATGATCGATTTAGTTCATTAAAAAATACAACAAAAATTATCTGCAGTGTATTCACCTCGATTTTTCTTTTTTACTTTCCATTTTATGATTTCTTTAGATTCCTGCATTGATTCATTCGACAAAACCAGCTTTGCATATGTTATTTCAAAATTTAATTAACTTTCCAAATAATGATATAGATCATTGTTTAGAAATTTATGCGAGAAATTTATTACCTAATTTTACATCTATTGGAAATGAAGTAAAAAACAAAAAATCTTTAAAAATCTTTTTTTCATAATTTTTTCTATTAGGTTTTAAAACATCAATCTATCGATTTATTTGAAGAGATAACTATCTAATGAATTTATTTCTATTTCAGATATTATTTTAATCATGGCAAGTCGCACTACTTCATCACCAGTGAAAAATATTTTATCAGAAATTCAAAAAATTGATTCATTAGATGCTTTACTTAAAACGAATAATATATTTTTATTTATACCAAATATAATTGGTAAGTAGAGAAAGATAAATGTGATAAAGAATTATTTCTATTTTTTTTTCTGTTAAGGTTATGTACGAGTTTTACTTTCGGTTATCTCATTTTATTTCATGCCATCGCATCCAAAAATAACAATATTTTGTTATTTAACAAGTCAACTTCTTGATGCACTCGATGGACATGCTGCACGTGCACTTGGTCAAAGTAAGAATTCTAATATTTTTGAAAATAATTGAAAAAAAAATAATAAAATCTAGGTACTAAATTTGGAGCAATGTTTGATATGCTTGTTGATCGATGTTCAACAATGTGTTTATGCTTTGTTTTGGCAATGTTTTATCCTAAATGGGCACTTTTCTTCCAACTTTGGGCTGCCATTGATACTGCTAGTCATTGGCTTCATTTACATGCGTAAATATTACTTTTATTTATTTAGTCATTATTAATTTTTTTTCATTATTCTAGGGCTACAGTTAAAGGTTCAGAAAGTCATAAAAAAATTGATTTATCCGGCAATCCTATTCTTCGTCTTTATTATACTTCACGTGTAAGATTTCGCCAGAAAAAACGAAACTGATTGCTCAATCTTTCTTTTTGTTTCTAGAAAGTTCTTTTTACAATGTGTGCTGGAAATGAACTTTGGTTTTCAATGATCTACATGCTTTATTTCGGTGAAGGTCCTACAGGTAGATTTTGACCATAAATCATAATTATTTACAAAAAAAAACTTTTCAAATTTTAGTTCTTACTATTGGTAAATATGGACTTGGTCTTTGGCGTATTATTCTCTATGCTGTAACACCAATCATGCTTGGAAAACAAATAATTAGTTTAATACATTTATATACCGCTGCACTCGATATGGCTGCAATTGATGATGCTGAACGAGCAAAAAATAATTCGAAAACAAAAAATTAAATTAAACTTTATTTTATACGTATTTTATTTTTTTTCCGAAACTCATTCTTAAAAATAATATATATTATATATTGTCAACTAGTCATTTGCTTCATTTATTTAAAAAAAAAAAAAGAGAAAAAATAACACGTTCTATACCTATATAGATAGATATTATCCTATATATTTTTATGCGTTGTTTTTTGTGTGTTTTATATATTGTCTCATTTTATGCTTATATATATATTGTTCTCTGTGTATACTAGATGAGAATTTTATTTGGTTATCGAAATTTTTTCAATAGAAATTTACGATATGTATCAAATAAAAGTATATCATACAAAGATACACTCAATATGCCGAAAAGTAAATTTGCGAGTACAATGAAAAATCGAGTTAAATGTGAAAATAATATCAAACAGGTTTGTTTATTCTTAATAGAAGAATATGATAATCATATGTGTGTGTGTGTGTAATTCAAATGTAAGATCATTTTTAGAAATTTCCTGTTAATCAATTATGGGAATGGCAAACAAAACAGTTGTGTCGGCCATTATTTGTTTTACATAGTGGACCACCATATGCGAATGGACCTCTTCATATCGGACATTTTTTAAATAATGTTTGATATTCATTCTTTATTGTTTCTTTTCTATAGTATTTTGTTTTGTTTTACAGATTCAAAAAGATATAATTGTACGTTATAAATTATTAGATGGACATCGAATAGATTTTCGTCCTGGATGGGATTGTCATGGTTTACCAATTGAATTAAAAGCTTTACAATTAAATAAAACAAATTCAAATAAACAAAATCAAATAACTATTCGTAGACTTGGTAGAATTCTATGTTTTATAGAAGATTTTCTTTTATTTATTTATTTTTGAATAGCACGTCAATTTGCTACTGAGGAATTAGAAAAACAAAAAAATGAATTTCATTCATGGGGTATATTAGCTGATTGGAATAATTGTTATAGAACATTTAATAAAGAATATATTATTGATCAAATTAAATTATTTTGGAAATTATATCAGAAAGTAATTAAAATTATACAGAATTTGTTTTTTTGATTCTTTTCTTTTAAGGGTTTACTCTATCGACAATATAAACCAGTAAATTGGTCACCAACTGTTCAATCTGCTTTAGCCGAATCAGAATTAGAATATAATGACAAACATACAAGGTAATTAAATATGAATGGAAGAAGAGATATTATATTCTAACTGGAGATATCGATATTGAATTGTGTTTTTTAGCACTGCGATTTACGTTCGATTTCGTTTGAAAAATGATCCTTTATTATCAAGTCTTTTACCACGTAAGAAATTTTGATTATAAGATTTTCTCGGTATTTTATTTTTTCTATTTTTTAGAATTAAATACAGAGAATATATATGCTTTAATTTGGACAACTACACCATGGTCTTTGATTGGGAATCAAGCTGTAGCTGTTAATGAAAAACTGAAATATTTATTCATAAAATTCCCTTCAACTAATGATATATATATTGTTGCGGAATCTTTATTAAATAATATAAAAAAATATCCACCATTTTCTGATAATCAGTTTGAAATAATAGGAAATTGTCTTGGTAAATAAATCTATAATCTATTTCTCAAAAAAAACAATTTCATTTCTTTGTTAGGCTCTCAATTATCTGGTGTTAATTATCATCACCCAATCTATCATGACGACAAAACTTATCCTATTGTTACAAGTGATCATGTTACTGATGAATTAGGTACTGGTCTTGTTCATATAGCACCCGCACATGGTTCTGATGATTTCCTTCTATCTATTAAATATAATCTTTCATGTGTAAATGCGGTGAATACAAACGGTCGTTTACATTGCCCAACAATTGAATCTCTTCATGGTCGTAATGCATTAGATTCTAAAGATGGAATAAAATCGATTCTTGAATATTTAAATTCAAATATATTACATCATTATGAATTTACACATTCATATCCGTATGATTGGCGAGCAAAAAAAACCTGTGTTAATCTTAGGTAGTCAACAATGGTTTATTGATACAACTCGTTTACGTGATAATGCATGTAAACATATATCAGAGGATGTAAAAATCTTTCCTGAAGGTGCTGGAAAAAGTTTTCTATCTATGATAACAAAACGTCCATATTGGTGTATATCACGACAACGTTCATGGGGTGTACCCATTCCTGTTTTTTATACTAAAAATGAAAACAAAGAACTTGTTATCAATGAAGAAATGATTGAACATTTAATAAAATCCATCCAAGAAAAAGATTCAATTGATTTTTGGTGGTCATCAACAGATATTAAAGAATTATTACCTCCGTCTATGCATAATCAAGCTGAAAATCTTATACGTGGAGATGATATATTTGATGTTTGGTTTGATAGTGGTTCATCATTTAATTCAGTTCTTAAAGGTATAGAAAATTAAATCTATATAAATAAAAAACATGTTTTTTTTTGAAAAGATTTCAATTGTCACGCTGATTTATATTGTGAAGGACATGATCAATTTAATGGTTGGTTTTTATCATCATTATTATTATCAACAGGTTTACAATCCCGAGCACCATTTTCAAATATATTCGTTCATGGTTTTGTTGTCGATAAAAATAATCAAAAAATGTCGAAATCAATTGGAAATGTTATTCAACCATCGGATATGATTTATGGTGGTGGAAAAGAAAAATTTCTTGAAAATGGTTTTGATGTTTGTCGTGAATGGGTGACAAGAGAAAGTTATAAACAACAATGTAAAGCTAGTACAGAAGATTTAAATAAAGCTTATAAACGAGTTTTTGATGTAAGATTATTTATTTTGAAAACAAAAAAATCTTTCTTAGAAAAAAATTTATTTAGATAAGAAATGTATTGAAATTTATATTAGGAAATTTATATGATTATCAACCTGATAAACATACAGTATCAAATGAAAATTTAACTGCTATTGATCGATATATGGCTTATCGATTAAATCAAATTCTTACGATAGTATATATTAGAAATTTTTTTCCATTATTTTATTTTAAATTTTTAGTATCATACGGATTTTGATCGATATAGAATGTATCATGGGTTAATAGCTGTTGAAGATTTTATTCAAGGAGATTTATCAAGTTTTTATTGTTCAGTAACAAAAGATCGGTATGAAAAAAAATCGAGATTTTATTCATAAACGAAACATTATTTGATTATTAGACTTTATTGTAATCCATCTGATTCTTATCTTCGTCGATCAACACAAACAGTTTTTTATTTATTATTGAAATGTTTAAATGAACGATTAGCACCAGTGATGCCATATCTTGCACAAGAATTATATAATGAATTAATCAATATAGGTTTGATTTATATATTCTTAAATAAAATTTTGCTATTTTTTATTATTTTCTCAGAAAACAAAGATAAAAAAATCAATGATATTTTTGAAAATAAATTTACTATTTTGGATAAACAATTAAGTGAAATACCATCTGAACTTGCATCTGCAATGACCGTTGTATTACATTTACGTAGTACATTTCATAGTGTACTACAAAATCGACGAGGAGTTTTATTTGATATTATACTTTATTTAAGTGATAAAGCAAAATTACAGGTTGAAATTATGAATAAAAATATTTTCGCATAAATTTTTATTTTTATAGCTTCAACAAATTCTGAATACTTTACAAAAACATCCAACAGTAAGTTTATTCGGAATTGTGTAACATTTATTAATATCTCGTCTTAATTTAGACAGTTAAATTAGATTTCTGGCAGCCATTAGAAGAACTCTTACAATGTTCTCGTGTACAACAACGATCATTATCAGATTTAGATAATGATCTAACCGAAGAAAATATTTCAAGTGTTGATTTACCATTATTAGGTATATTAAAAAAACGGTCAGGTTAAGTCTGCTCCAAATTTAGAGTTTACGGATGTCCAAGTTTTCTCGAAAAACTCTACCCAAAAGCTGTAATCATCTATTTTTGATTGCTATGATAGATGCTCTAGACTGTGCTGAGTTCACCGGCGATGCTCATGAAAAAAAGCACACAGTTATAAGCTACAATTTGTCAAAAAACTTGAGACTCGTAAACTTCAAATTTGGAAGTCACTTAACTTGACCTAAGAAAACTAATAATTAATAAAAATCTATTTGTTTTTGTTTAATTTTAGATGATAAATTTAATTATATAATGAAAGTACAACATTCTACTTTGCATTCTTGTCCTCGTTGTCGTTTACAAATATCAGAAAACGAAGAGCAATTATGTTCTCGATGTTCTTTTTATTTACAAAAAACTTAGGATGTTATGATTTAGTTTGTTTGTTTTTCAGATGTATTTTTAATAGAAAAGAAAAAGAAAAATGGCATTAGCATTTTCTAATACTAATAAATTTTTGTTAAATAATCAACATATATTAAGATCAGGTTAATTAAATATAAATTATTTTTATGAAAAAATAAAACAACTTATTTTCTAGTCTTGATATTATCTGTTCGTTATAAACAACGTGGACATATTGCTGATCATCTAGTTGAACATCATAGAAAATTACCATTGAGTAAAGTTAAAGCTGGTACAACTGAAGATGTGTCGCAAGTAACTGATGAAAAAAATCAAAATGTTCGTACTACACCACATGATTTTAAGTAAATAAAAATTTATTTTAATATAAAAAAACGAATGTATATTTTCTAGATATGTTTATCCTGATTTTTTACCCAATCCTATTCCTTTTCTACGTGATCGAATACTTGAAAAACTTGAACGAAAGGATATGTTTCGTCGAAGACAACAAATTGATATACCAGAATTTTATGTTGGTTAGTATTTCGTAGAATATTTATTTTCTATGTTAATCTCTATCGTATAAATTAGGAAGTGTTCTTGCTGTAACATCTGCTGATCCATATGCACCTAGTCGACGTAATAGATTTGTTGGTATATGTATTCAACGTGAAAAACATGGACTTAAACATGAATTTACTCTAAGAAATATTGTTGATGGACTTGGTAAGAATAGCTTTTGCCTATATATATAAATATGAAATTTGATTAGGTGTTGAAATCGTCTATGAATTATACAATCCAACAATAACTAGAATTGAAGTTCTTAAACTTGAACGACGTTTAGATGAAAATCTTGCATATTTACGTGATGCACCACCTGAATATTGTACATTTCCATTTGATATGGAACCCGTTAAATTACCACCTGGTAGTGGTGTACCATTGAACACAATTCAAGTAGAGTTCTTTTTCATTATCTCAACAAAAAAAACTAACTTAATGATTTTAGGTACCAATTACCAGTACTCATTGGCAATATAAATGGGAACGTCATGATTTGAAAGGTGTTCTTTTACCACCATTACCACGAAGTGTACGAAAAGCCGCAGAACGTTATAGTGAACCATGGCGTCAATGGGATATAATGAGACAATATCGAACAGAAATTCATGATGAAGATCGAGATGAAATTTTTGAAGATATTGAAAAACATAAACAAGATTTAGCACAATATCGTATTGATAGTAAAGAAAATATTAAAATTATCCGAACAAGACAAAAAGCAGCAGGAAGAAAAGCAATTTTGGATGATTCACAGCAGACAAAACATTCAAATCCACCAACTTCAAAATAAAGAAATGCTTTTCTTTAGGGAAAATATATTACAAAAACTAGTTATTTGTTGATTTGAAAAATAAAGAAAATAATCACTCAAACTTGATACTATTTTTTTTTAGTATGATTTGTATATCTTCTTAATACTCAAAAATAAGAAATCAATATTAGGTTTGCTCATCCAGTCATAATCTACATGGTATAAACTATCAACATATAGTATACTGTATATTCTCTTTTGTAAATAAACAAAGGTCTGTTAATCATAGATGATAATGAGTTGAAGTTAACAGAAACTAATTTGATATTAATTAGACTTATACAACTCGTATATGTTTCATAATATTGTTAAATGTTTTCAGTGTTTATTCTATTTATGAAATTATGTATAACATCTGTCTTTTTAGAATGAATAAATTACAGGATCTGTTTATCAATTGTTTAGATATTTTATTTTGTTAAAAGAAATTTTTTTGGAGAATAAAAAAAACTAACCACAGGAAACCAATCGAGAAAAATGATTTAATATAAACATTCGTTCATTTTATTTAATTATAGAATAATATTATTAAGGATGGCGCAATGATAAGTATATTTCTTTTACTCAAAATAATTTCATATTGAACTTAAATTCTAATATACTTGTTTTAAAAAAATTCTTTTCATAACATTAATCACTGTATTTATTATTATTGCGTGCATATAAGAATTTTGTCATTAACTTCATTATCAAACAAATTTCATAACGAAATTATAAGCAATTTCAGTTTTCTCCTATATCAGCTAATATGACACAAAATTTTATTATCTCGAATTAATATTTCTAACAGTTTAATAATAACATTTACTTAAATCAACTGGCAAAAAAAAGTATTCTATTTTTCGGTTGAATTATTTAAGCAAGTTCTACTGTTTTGACATTTATGTTTGTTTATATTAGCTGAAAAATACGCAAGATATCAAACGATGACTATATATATAACTCTTTCTATTTATCGTTTGATGATATGTAATGATATTTATTCATATTATTATTATTCACCGTTTAATTATATAGATTCACTGATTTGATTTAATCTAAATGGTATGTTCATGTACAATCTTTGCTTTACAATGACTTGTTTCATCTGTTAATTCCAATTTTGATTGACATTACATCTATCAAATATAGAAATTACGTGTAACAGAATGACATACATAGTTTATTATGTCTCGACATCTTTTTTTCTACATCAAATGATTTGATTTTTTTTCTTCTTTCAGGAAATTATATCGTCAACCTCTTGATTTTTTTTATTGATAATGATAGTTACTATTTGTTTCTTTATATCTACGTATACATACGACGTCAGAGTAAACGGAAAATAACTTTTTTTTCTTTTCAATTTTTTTTATTATCGTCATAGAACGTAACACAGGTGTGCTTAATATACATATATATATATATATATATATCATACGTAAGAATGTGCATGTGCAATCGTTGGCATAAGGTATAAAATAAATACGAAAAAAACAAGAATGATAGTTATTATTTGTTACATATTTTTATTAGATAAGAAAAATATCAATGTCTGAGGCGACAATGAAAACAACGACATCACCACCAAAACGATTTCAAATACATATGTTTGTAAATCACGTGATGAATTTTTTTACATCTTCAAATCGTGTTGTTGTAGTAGAAAATAATAAACCTAAGGATCGTATGTATTTATCGATTTGATTTTTTTTTCTGTTTCATATCTATTTTTGTTAAATATTTAGTCGTGGTATTACCATCAATATCTGTTACATCTCCCGATGGAGAAACTACTGTAGTCGAATGAAATTTGCATTGATAAGCAAAAATGTATTTTTAATGTTTGATAATAAAGATTTCAAAAACTAATAAATTTATATATATATATTTACGATGATAAGACAAAAACAATTTGATATACAATATAAAAAAAACAGACTACTGTTCGTAAAGATGCTTTTAATAATGAACTGTTATTTGTTATATGTGATATTAAACGACGAGATTTACTACCACCAGGATCTAAAGAGAAGAAGAAAAACGTATATATATAGATAATAATTACAAAAATTAATCTACATTGGTTGACAATAACATGAGCTGTTGCAGTTAAATATTCACCATATCGACATGTATATATTCCGGTATCAATTTTTCGTGCTTTTCGTATAATTAATGTTTCATAAAGTGTTCCATCAATTGAAGAATAATTCGAAAGACTTTCAGCTATATTTATTAATGGATAATCATTACGTGTCCATTGTACACGTAGATTTTGTTCATTAAATGCATCTGTTGAACGTATACGACATATAAGACGAATTGCTTCATTTATATTTACATGTATATCATTCGGAATTATATCAATACATGTATTAGCTAGAATGGATAAAAATAAATGAAATTTGTCTTCTTTCTTATTATAATGAAATTTCATACTTATAATTGTTAAATTATAACTTGATCGAATTACAGTTCCTGTCTTACATATATAATAACCTTGATCATCTTTTCTTGCACCGACTATTTCAAGATGACGATCATTATTTTGTGTACGTAACATAAAACGTTGATCATCGATTAATTGACGATCACCAAGTATTAAAGCTTGTGGATAAGCATTTTCATATAAACGAAACCACATTGCTGGTATCTTTATATATATGATGGGAGAGAGAGAGAGAGAAAAACGATTATGATAAAATATATCAAAAAAATGTTTCTTACTGTAGATGTTGATCGAATAAGATCATTATCGGATTCTGTAGGACAAGAAAGTGATATTGTATCACCACAATTAGCAAGTATAACATGTGCATCGGGATAGTCGGTATGAAAATCATTTAAATAATACATTGAACATGAGATGTTAAGAACAATAAAAATTAAAATCCAAAGAACTAAATTTAGAATAGATATGAGATTTAAAAATATTTCGTTATAATATACTTTTTAGAAGTAACATTTTAATTGATACATATTTTGTTGAACATAATCACGCCTCTTTTTAATGAGGCTTGTCATATTGCGTCATCTATATATATATATCTGAAAACGAATTATAATATTTTGTTAGTCAAAGTTTCGTTTTTTTTTGTTCTGTTGTTTTTCTTCTTTCCTCACCTGTAATACATCTATAAAAAGAGTATGTGTGTACATGAATAAGCTCTCATTTTATTTTGATCATAAGAAGAAATAATATGGCTGATAACAATGTACTTAGCGACGAGCAACGAAAAAAATTCGATGAATCTTACAAAGAAAAGCGATCCGGTCTACCTGTATGTCCAACATGTAAAAGTCGAGATGATGTTATTCCAACAGTACGTGGTAAACCAACTCATGACTTAATGTTATATGCTGAAGAAGGCAATGTTAAACTATCCGGATGTACACAATCTTACCAAGGATGGTGCAAGAAATGTGAAACATTCATATAAGAACGAAAAAAAACAGAATTTTTCTTGTTTTCAACTCGGTTTTTCTTTGAATAAAAAGAAGATTCTCTTTGCTTTTTTTTTGTATAGTTATATAAATTAATTTATATAAATGATTCACATTTACCTATTATTCATTGATGAAGAGCGATGCATTATTCTCCTCGAAGTGACAGTAAGAGGAGATGAGAGTCGTTTTCTCAAATCGCGTAATGTAGAGAAGAGTGAACGAACTTCCGGCAAGTAGCGCAACAGTTACTATTACTTCTTATTCTACAATAGTAATATTAAGTTTGCTTTTCTCTTCCTTCACTACTCCGCCTTACAATGATTCAAGGCGCCGGAAGTCTGTTTCTCTCTATCTCTATTCGTTTATCTTTGTCCTACAATTCTTCAATGTCCTATCATGCGAATAGTGTCAGTATTACAGGGAAAGGAGAAAAAAAGAAATCATCGTCGATTTGATGTCTATCACTCTTATAACTGTCTGTGCATACATTGCATGCAAAAAACTCATTTACACTTATTGTCGCCGGCCAATGACCACTTTTTTTCTATAGAACTACTTGAAACAATACATACATAAAGTTAATTGCGGATGTGTATCTATGATTCATTTATGGTCGAATAAAAAGGAAAAATGATTGACATTCGTCGCGGTTTTTCTTTGTCAGCATCAATTACATATTTAAATAAAGCTATTAAGAAGAAGAAAAAAAAAGAGGAACTTGTCCTTTTTTTCAATATTTCTTAAAGCAACAGTATCAACTTCAAAGAAATAACCATTGTCATTAGCACTCTATGATAACCAATGATCGAGTAGTCGTAGAAAATGACCGTTCTATTTATCATTATCATCATAATAATGAATTGTTATTCTTTTTCAAGACATTGTTTACGATAGATTTTGTCCATTTTCTTGTGCGAAAATCATACTGTTGTAAACGTATATCATTAGCCATAACGTTTAATTTATTATTAGTATAAGATAAACCATATTCTAACTGTAAATTTTCAATTGTATCCATGAATTCCCATCGTTCAAAACGTTCATTATAATATTCTAGACGAGTAACTGAATGTGGTTTATGAGAACTATCAATATCATAACCACCTCAATAAATAAATAAATTCAAAATACGAGAAAAAACAGGATTATATTTACCAGCACTATAAATAGCAGTTTCATTTGGATTGTGAGGATCAGGTACAATTAAAAGTAATGGTCGTGCTCGACCTGGAACAATTTCAGTTCGACGAATCCAATTTTGATCTGTATTTTTTAAATTTAATACAATATACTAGATAAATATCATTTAATTTGAATTAATTCTATATATGAACGAACATACTTCACCATGAACAACAGAACGATTAAGAATAATATCAAAACCGCCTAGTAAATGAATAGAATCGTTATGAAAAGCTATTCCAGCACCACTAGTTGGTGCTGGTAAATCTGGTAAACGAATCCAAATACTTTCTTCTGTATCAAACATGTAAACGGATTTTAATGCAACATTCATATAAGTATGGCCTACATACTATCCATATATATATATATATGACATGCAGATTTCTTTCACATCACTAACCTCCTGCACAAATAATATATCGTCCATCACTGCATATAGCAAAACTAACACGTCCATCGGGTAATGGTTCGATTGGTATTAATCTATCAAGATTACTATCATAAAAATAATCGTAGTTTGGTATTTGTCTTTGATACTTGTTTGGTATATATACGTATCCACCAATAATATAAGTACCTTTAGAAAAATTAATAACCATAAAACGTTTTCGAATGCCTTCATTAGCAAATAAATTTAATGCTTTTTGGAAATTTTTTATAATATCTGTTCGAGAGATTGTTATATTTGGTGCTTGAAGCACAAGAGATGGATCGCCCATTTGGTTATCTTCAAGGTATAATTCGCGTACTTGACCATAACCACGGTAATATAATGAATGCATGTAATCGATATAGCATGGATAATTATCTTCTGACTTACATGATGTTCCTGTTATATATCTGATTTGTTATTAAATAATAAAAATCATTGATAAAATTACAGACCCTCTGTATACCAAATTGGTTTGTTAATAATTTTTGATTGAAATTCTTGTTGAGAACAATGTTTTAAAAATGGAAATAATTTGAAAAGTGATATGTACGAAGAATTAGACGAGAGATAATACGATTGTGAGAATAATATAGGGCATGAACTCATAATCGTATGAAAAAGAAAATGTTTTTATTCGTATAATGCGCTTTTCTCATTTATTTAATAATAGAAATTGATTTTTTGTTTTTATCTATCATATCAATTGGTCAATCTTCTACATTATTTAAAACTAGTGGACACATTCGTGCTCGTCTATGGATGCGTGCTTAAAACAATTCATACATCGATCTTAAAGATAGAAGAGAATATGAAAGACAGGAGGTCATCAATAAATGTTGATAAACGTTAGAATATCTCGTTGGCGAAAACGACGACGACAAAGAATGAATGTGTAATGAAATCAGTTCAACGGTCTTTCTTTGTCTATTGAACGATCGATCTTTTCTTGCTTTTGCCTTGCAATCAACGTCATTAGTAGTACACACATCAAAGTCAATGACTTGATGAGTGCAACTCCTCCTTCAACAGCTTATACTACCAACAATAAAGGCATACATATATATATATTTATACAAAATGAGACGAAAGAGTCAAAATCAATGGTCTACTTGTCATTAACAACTACTTTGGCTAGTATTCATTCAATAAACTAATGAAGGAAGTGATTGTGACACAATGTTCTTGTGTCAGATTATGTAGTTACAGAACAAAAAATATAGTATAATAAAGCCTTTTTTTCTTTTTCTTTTTTTTATAAATGTATGTGGTCATATAGGAAACGACCAAACTTACAAAATGCATATCAATGTACGAAGTGCATGTTATAGTACGCACAAATGCATATAACAAGAATATATAGTAGTGATTGAATTTGAGAGTTCACACGCACGCAAGAATATATGAAAAGATGAAAAAAAAACCTATACTATTCATGAACGAATATAAAAATGTCATTCTTAATCACAATTGACATAATATAAGATGGGCGGACAGACAATCAATTGATACAATAGTAACCCTAAATTTGAAGAGTAAGACAAAAAAAAGAAAGAGAGAAAGACTCTAACGAAACTTTCAAATTTACAATTATATACGCAATCAGGCTATTTTTCTCTCACGCGTTTCTTTTCTTCCGTTTCATCTGTTCGACCCGACCTTATGTCGATAATTAGGTCGTCAGAAGAGAATTGCATCACACATCACATCCCGTTCGCAGTCCATTAAACAGAGCTATGGCGGTGGTAGTGGTAGCAGTAACAACAGCCGCCTTTTTTTATATGTATGTATAGTATTGCGTCTGTGCTTAGTTATTGAACGATCATATTCAGTCAGTTTTGGCATCTTCATTGCTAAATGATGATCGATTCTCTTCTCAATATCTGCCTTTCTCTCTCATCTACTTTTTTTCTCTCTCTCTCCTTCTCTTTTCTTCTTAATCATTCATGGCTGTACTTGACTTGTGTTTACACATTTCTTATTTTCTTAAGTTGTGCTCCTCCTGCCAACAATAAACGAACCACTCAGTCAGTCTATCATCTAGGAAACAAATCGATTTTTCCTATATGTATATATTAAATATTTATCTAATATGTGTTTTATACAAAAGTGTCAAAAAAAATAATAAAAAAATTAAAAAAAAAAACGAAGCGTTCAGGTATGTTGATGTTAAACTGCATAATACATTGAACATCTGCTTCCAAACACATATATACAAACACGCACACGAACAGGTAGTCTCTTATACATATATGTAAGTCAATTGGTAGAAGAAGCGGCAGTTTTGTTCTTTCTCATATATGAACGTCAGTGATTGTTCAGTATAACGAGATGCCAATGAACAATTGTTTTTTTACTAGGTCAATTAATCAACTACAAATTCTTTATAGTTTCCACTTGTCTTCCCGCTTTTCTTTTGAAGTTTATATGTGTTATTCGTTTCAGCTGTACATATAAGTAGTACACCGGAACGCATATGCAAAAATTAATTCGTCAACAATTAGACCATCTGCTCAAAATGAATTGTTTTAAGACAAAATTTTGCTTACCTTTATTGTCAAATTTTTGAAAGATCGTCTGAAGGATGATGATGATGACAATGATAATGACGTTTTGATGTTTCAATAGAGCTTAGTGGGTGGCATTTCTAGCGAGTGAATGAACACCGCAATAGTTATGAGATGACGAGAGAGAAGAAGAAGAAGAAGAGAGAAAGAAATAGAGAACGGCAAAGGAAAGAAAGAAAGAGAAACGAAAAGAGTATGGCTCAATCATGATCGTCTTGTCGTCAGAGAAGGGAAAAAGGATAATCATCATCGCTCGTCAGAATCCTGAAATTATTCAATCAGTGTTCTGATCATGAAAAGAGGCTTACAACAACAACGACAACAGCATTAGTGAAGCATCGACCTTGTCGCTTGAACTACACACATACACCATACACAGTTCATTGATTTATAGGCAGACATAGAAACTAACTGACAGAATGACATGTATTAAACTATACAACATACATACATACATACATATATATATATCATATATAGATGATAATCAATGTCTAATTTCAGGGTCAAAGTCTACTTTTATCAGTCAAGTAGCTCTTTCAATAATTTCAAAGACAACTATTATTATTTTTATTATTTCTTCTTATATCACTCGGTTAAAGATAGATAAAGGCAAATACGACGTTGAATAAAAAGCTTAGTTGAGTATTATATAGGTATGTGTATGAAATGCATTTAAATAATACTATTGCTTGAGGCATAAATATAACATACCGGAAAGTGAATATTTTATGTTTATATATGTAATCATCTATTGAGGTTAAGAGTATAACAGAAGATTATATAAAACAATGTTTCCTTATGATTTTATTCTATTCTATTCATTTTATTGAGTTAGGTTAAGTATATTTTATAGAGAGTTATCATTGTCACTATTATTCTGGATTATGATTGTTCTTATATATGTTCTTCTTCATCATTTTTTTTCTTGTTAGACAAAAAAAAAAGAAACCAACACGATCTGAAGCCATAGTATCGCCAATTGCATAACTCTCGTAAGAAGTATTTTTTCCTCTAGTTAGAATAGTAATTTGTCGCATTGCATGTCTGTTACTGATAGATAGGTAGATAGATAGGTTTGTGTTATTTCCTTCTCTTGACTAAACACTACATACAGTTTATAATAATGACCTCGAAATATAATATATAAACACAAAGGAATCGTGTGTATAAACTAAGAAAAAAAAAATTTAATCTACAAAATACATACTTCTCGTCTTTTCTTATTATTATTCCATTTAATCTCCGTTTAATATTGATTGAACAACCTCCTATGAGTATATATGTGTGTTCATTTGGCCCAATTGCATGTGAACATAATCATATATATATATATGTATACATATATCAAGTAAAAAAAAAAGATGATCGATCGAGAGCATCTGCTTGACATAGTAGAAAAAACCTACTTATTATATTGTCAAAAATCGGTTAGTCAAAATGATCTCTAATTTTCGATTTATCTTTTTCTTAAATATAGAATGATAACTTTTGCTTTTATTTATGACTCATCACATTGAATTATTTTGTCCTTGAGTCGAGAGAAATATGTAAAAGATGATGAAGTATCATCATGACACATATGACTTTTATGTTTTTTCGGATTATTTTTCACGTCATCATCATCGACTCCAATAATTGTATCATATGTAGTATGAATATATTGTTGCTTTTGTTCTTGAAAATGATTAGTCATTGGTTCTCGTTCATCATCTGTACGTGGATCAATACAATAAGTATATTGATATGATGTTAATATATGTTTATCATATTCAAAAACTATTTCCTTCTTTTGTTTTTCTTTATGCATAATTAATAAGTGTTTTGTTTCGCTTTCTTGTTGTTCACGAACTTTCTTACATGACCATTTGATTAAAAAGTCTACAATTGTAAAAAAACAAAAAAACTGTTGTTAGTGTGTGTTCGAAGAAAAATCTAACAAATTAATTTTGATTGACACTATGACCTTTGACTATATAGTCGTATCACGCGATCGGAAGTAATCTATATCCGATTAAATGTAGGTGGATACCACCACTGAGGAATAGATTTTCTTTCATAATCATATTACAATATTTTTAATTTACCAGCAATGAATTCTATAGGATCTTCAGGCCGATAGATTATCACAGAAGCTAATGCATGTTGTAATGGTTCACCAATACATATATGTAAATAGTTAGTATAAGTACTATTGAATGATGTTGATGATTTTGAAAGATCTTCGATAGGTTTAGATACATTGAAATGATTGCTAGCAGTATATTTGATTTCTGAATTCATTTATAATGAAGAACACGGATGTTTTAATTTATTATGTGATGAGTCATCATACATATAGGCGATAATTAATAAGATAAATCATCAAAACTATCTAAGATAATATGCTAGCATACTTAAATAAACAAAAATGTCTTCAAAACTAATTAGTTTTCACTGAGATTGACAAAAGTGCAGCTCTCAAATCATTTCGATAATACTCATACAGACAAGTTTTCAAACTATTTATTTATCAATATTGAGCTTAAAATGATGGCCATAGAAAAAGTTCTTTTGACAACTACAATATTTTGAAATCTCTATTCATAAAATCTCTTCTAACCTATTCAACATTCATTATAGATATATGATTATTTATATTGTCATGAAAAAATGAACAAAAGACAATATGAAATATAATGGAATGATAAAAAGTGATTGAGCAAAAACAAAAATTAGTCAATTCCTTTTAAATGTTTATCTATGAAAAGAAAGAATATAAATAAGAAGAAAAATAATCATACTTGATTATTTGACATTTATAAAAATAGAAAACAAAATACAAGAAAAAGTCATATGAATGTATAATAAGTGAAACGAAATATTATCATAGATCGATAGACATACAATTTTATATCTAGTATTATGATATTAATGAAAAAGAATTGATTTATTTATGAAAAACGAACAGAAAAATACATCTATTGATCTAAATATTATATATATAAAGAAGAAAAAAAGAAATCGACGAATAAGACCAATGAATAAGCAAAAAACCATTGAGTTATTTCTCTTTATATATGATATGAAACAAACTAGCTCGTAGTATGCAAATCCGATATAACAATTTTTGTATGGATTCTACTGACACAACAATGATCTAGTTTGTCGAAGTTGCTTCGTCAGCTTTTCAAATAATCATGTAAAAACAAACTTAGTACAAATATGATGATTTTTACCAATAAAACTTTTAAAAAACTCTGGTATATCTAATTTGTAGTTGATACATATTCTAAATGAAAACAATTATTTAATCCAACTCCAATTCAATATAAAATAAAATCTACTTGTTTCGGTTGACTAAAAAATTGATGGTTTTTCCTGTTTGTAATGGATCTCTGAAATTTGATATTGCGTTCGAAGCAAACTTAATATATGTATTAGATATAATTTTTAATTGAACTTTCATTTCATATTAGATAGATGTAAAACCTCTGATGTTATTACAACATGAAATTTGAAAGATCTATTCTGAAATATGTACGACCAACGTTAATGGTATTACCAATAGAAATATTTTATAAATAAGGAAAAACATGACTTCTTCTTTCATATACGTAGAGGATAACTAGAAGAGAATCATTTTTTTTTGTAAATAAATACCTATTGATAATTTTAGTTTCAAGATATATCTCAATAAAAGGTGGGGTGGATGTGAGTGAAATGAATAGAATATCTACACCCACGCTCTCACGGTAACTTCAATTCCTTATTAAATAAATTGTTTCATGGATCGAAATGAATTCGTTTGTACAACAAGTCGAGCACTAGTTTATATAGCATAATTCTCAAATTCAAAAAGAGTATGCTAAGAATAAAATGAAAAACAGAATATTACACATTTAAAACATGTATTTCTATTTGCGGTTAAATTGGCTTGCTATGGCAAGATTCCGTGCTCTTTTACAATAGCGTTCATGTTTTCTCTTAATTTGCTCGACTCCTTAAAACGGGTACTACATATACAATACCGAGAGACACTGATAAATGGCGATACACAACCATTCAACAAGAAAGTACTTTTTTTCTTTTTGTTCTTTTACAATACATGTTATTACGATTCCTTTAATAAAAGAACAATACATATGAGCGAATGTAGTTTCTTCCCATCGCTTTTTTAGTAACCAAGTGAAAATCTTTACTTGTGATCAGAATTCTCACATTTTTCATACACCATGGTGTATCTAAACTTCAATCAAGCAACACGTTACTCATACCTATTTGTACAAAAGGACATTTTGTCGTTGCCCTTTTTCTCCTACCTTACTTACTTCGAATGGGTAATTGCACCGCCAATGGAAAAATACGACACACGTGAAGTAAATAAGCATTTCAAAAGAAGAAATGAAAATAATAACACACCACACATTGCAATAGTTTCTATCGGAGAAAAACAAAACCATGTCAAGCTTGGTTACATTACCGGTAGAGCTTGTCTACCGAATTTTGGATCATCAGAGTGATTTCACTCTGGTGTGCTCCATGCGAGATGTGTGTCAGCGACTCAACCAAATCGTTGACACCTACGATCGATATACGGTAAGACTTTTTCTTCTTATATTCGGCTAATTTTCACCAGTCGTCAAGGTTTTTTCCACTCTTACGATCTGTAAGCCTGATATAATAGTAGACAAATAACCTGTTGTAAGATAGAATACTCTATCAGTCATTATGCCCTCTGCTCATAAGAAGGTTAAGTCTCAAGTTGGTACCCGAACAAACATTCATTCGCATCTTTCTTCATTTTTTCATTTACTCGTTAGCTGGTACTGAGTACAAGTCGTAACCGGTGTGATGAGTAGAGATACGAATATGTTTGCTTGTTCGTTAGGAAACTTAATTAAGAAAATTATGTAGTCAGATTTTAACTTATGAGATTAAGAGAAATCGAATATGAACAATTGATATGTTCTCTTCGTATAACTGTTGATTTGTCCTTGGGATAGGATTGCTCTAATTTGATAATAACGATGAGTTTGAGATGTAGATACTATATGCGTTGTGTACCCACCTAACTGTGGAATAATACTGGATCTGATTCTTCGACTTTTGGCGCTAGAAGTCTTTTTCGGTTGCGAAATACGAGTCCTAACACTAAACCAATATAAAAACATGTCTTTGTTTATTTTTGCACATTCTTTTGTAAGCATCCCCATGCTCAAATAGCATTACTCATATTCTATAGAGGATGATGACAAAAATTAGCGATTTCATCTCATATAAATAACTAACGAGAAAATAAATCTTCACAGTTGTCATGATCCCATCTTTTCTACGTTGCCAAATACACGCCGACCTTCACAAGCTACAGCTACTATTGACTATAGGACACCCTCATATCACTTAACCTATACAAAACAAATAAATTAAAATCACCACTTGATATGGAATCAATGATGAAGTAACACATCCATCAATAACGAACAAAGATCGTAAGAAAGTCACCTCACACCGATAAAACTTCACCTTCAAGAGAATCCCTTATTACCACGAAACGTTCCGAAACAGTAGGGTTCTTCCATTCATTACCGAAGGTTTATTCATCAACTAGTTCACGATTGGTCAGAAGCACCTCCCTTCCTCCATTTAGTCTCTGCACTATCCCGATAACATTCCTAAACGACGCCGGGAACCACTGTTCATTCTTGATAAATACGTCATAGATTTAATCTTTTCCCACTCACAACTTCCAATTTCTTCGAACTAGTGGACAATTCCATAGCATCCCTTTTATCTCAAATCCATATCTCCAGAATACCGATAGAGAACAGATAATAATAGCAACATCATACTAAAGCTCCTCTCATATTCATTGCGAGAACCACACAGAAACACGCACCATACTGCACCTCTCCCAAAAACCAAATCGAAGATGAAGGAGCACAACATCTCGGTGATGCACTGCGAAATAACACACTAATATTTATTCATATTATACTTGTTGCATATAACTGTTTGTACTTTGTTATACAGACACTCACCACATTGGAACTCGTCAAGAAAAGACTCGGACCTAAAGAAGCACAACATCTTAGTGATGCGCTACGAAATAACACAGTAATACTCATTCACTC